CTCTTCTGTTACTTCTATTTCTACAATAACTGTTACTACAACTACTACCGAACTGACTGCTGCTACTATAGCTACTACTCTACCATCACCACCACTACTACTACAACTACTACAAATACTAGAACTATTACTAAAAGGACATCTAGCACTAGTATGACGAAAAAAATCGATAAAAATATGATTTATTGTAGCGCTAAACGAGGAAGGCTAATGATATCTGATACAAAAAGATACAAAAGTATCATTTATACAAATGTACAGCAACAAAAACTATTAATTCTTATTTCCGAGAAGCAAAATACTAAAAAATCGGAAAAAAATCTGTAAAATGGGAATGGAGATGGAAGATGGGTGGTGTAGCTAGAGAGAATAATAAATCACCCCTCACTAATACACTTTAATTATCGCTCTTAAATGTTTTTTGGCGGGAAATGTTTTTTTGGCGTGTCTTAGCGCCTTTTGTTTCCTTACCAACCATTTTATCTCCCTGTCATCTTCTTCTTTAGATTATATTTCTAATTTTTTGCTGTTTTAACTTTTTTTAAAAACTTTTTAAACATTAATTTTTTTGTTGGGTTTTAATTTTCCGCCTTTCATTTTTGTTTAAATATTCATTTTTTAGAAAAAAGTTTTTTCAAAATTGAAAGGAAAAAATGATTTTTTGGGATTGAAAAAAGACTTAATCCTGCAAGAACATGCAGAGATTTGAGAGTTATGAGACTTATATCCTCTGAGGACAAGCGTCAACAAAAGGAACTCATCCAATCCAACATATGTTCATATTCTCACGGGCGTCTCATGCGTAGAAGATACAACAAACAAATTGATTGAAGATTTAATGAAGCGCAAAATAAATTTAAGAAAACGAATGCGTTCATCCTTTAGAAAATTGAAAAGTGCACTTAAGTTTAGATAATGAGCACGTGTACGCATATTACACCCTCGTGTAATGACCAAATTGCTTTCTCGCGTTCCAGGTAGATCGCACGTACACACAGATATACATACACACACACACACACATACGTGCGTACATACATGCGTATATCCATGCGTACATACAAACATGCACACATAAATACACACACACTCACTATATAATATACATACGCACACACATTCAAAAAAGCACATACATACAAAAGTACACACATACAAAAGCAGGACACGACATACAAACACTCAAACATCAGTAGCAATTTTGACTTGTTTGCTTACCTCTCGCTGCTTGCGCCATTTCCATTGGCTTTAATGCTAAATTGCCTCAATACGCAACCACATACCCATACAAATCATACGTCCGCATACGCAATAAATACACATACGCCATCACGTGTACTGTCATATGAACATTAATACCTTAATACAAACCTATAAATACATAAAGTAGTGAATGAATACGCGCATTTTTATATTGAGGCCACTTTATATATATAAAGAAAAAGATAGAAAAAGAGATAATTCGAGAGAGAGAGAGAGAGTGCAAAAAGAGAGAAAGAGAAAGTAAGAGGAAGATTGAAACTAATATGATCTAATAAAAAAAAACCAATACGTCCATGCAAGCAAACATCGGAATATTGTAAAACTGGACAAATAATAAGAGTACATGCGGTTTTTGTATTAATCCTAATTATGTGTGTTTGTGTGTGTGTGTGTGTGTGTGTGTGTGTGTGTGTGTGTGTATGAATGTGTGTATGTATGTGTGTGTGTGTGTGTTTGTGTGTGTGTTTGTGTGTGTGTGTCTGTGTCTGTATGAATGTGTATGTGGATGTGTGTGTGTGTGTGTGTATTACGTAAAAAAATAAATCAAGAAAAAAAATATGAGAAGAGGAAGAGCTGAATAAATTTAAAAAGAAAGCGTTAGAGAAAGTTAAGAAGAAAGAAACAAATAAAAACGAGAGAAGTAGAAATATAGACCTAGAGAGAAAGAGAGAGAGAGAGGGAGAGTAGTAAAGAGAAAAAGGGAGGCACAAAGAAAGGAAAAATAAAGAAAAAAAGAAAGAGAATAGAGAAAAAGCGAGCATGTGTGTATGGAACGTGGTGACGGCTGATGACTGAGTCATGTTTGGAGGGGTGGTTGCAATAATTCAGTGTGGTCATGTGCCGTTTGTAGTGACCACGTGCTGTTGTGTTGTTGTGTGTCGCTGTTGTTTTTCTGTATCGTTGTTGTTGTTTTCTTGTGTGGATGTTGTTGTTTTATCGCGTTGTTGTTGTGTATGCTGTCGTTGTGTGTGTTGTTGTTTTCTTGCGTTGTTGTGCGTCCTGTTGCTACATTTTGTTGTTCGTTGTCCTTTGTTTTCATGGCGTCGTATGCCTTTATTGTTGTTGATATGGCGTTTTGTGTTATTTATATAAAATTTCTCTCTCCTCTCTCTCTCTCTTTCTCTCTCTCTCTCTCTTTGATGGTTGTTATTATTATTTGTTGCAATGAATACTTTGTCGGCAATCTATTTATTCATCTAAATTTGTCATGTTATTTTCCATCGATTCATTTCTTCATTCTTTCAATCGTTCACTCATTCATCTGTTAATTCATTCATACTTTCTTTCCACTTTTAATCCATCCATCTGTCTACCCATCCATTCATCTGTATACCCATCCATCCATCCATCCATCCATCCATTCATCCATCCATCCATCGAATTATTCATCCATGCTTTCACTGGCCGACTCACTTATTGGCGCATATTTTTAAAATCCCACAGGAATTTCAGTCGATCAGTCATCAAGTCAAGCTACCTATACAAAACATGTACACATACATGTTTTGTATAGGTATCGCACACATGCACGCACACATACATGCAAACATATATGTTGGTAATAGACCATAATTTTTACAATATTCTATAAATTCTACCGAATGTTTGGCGTTAACATCATGTAGTTCGTTTTTTCGATTTTTTCACTAAAGTTTTTTGGTGAACGTTTAGTTTATTGAAATTCAAAATAAACTTATCAATTCATGAATTTGGAAAAACATATATATATATATATATATATATATATATATATATATATATATATATATATATTATATATATGTGTATATATATATATATATATATATATATATATATATAATAAACCATTTACCCAGATACCATACATCTTGTAATTCATTCATTCATTCCTCCATTCATTCATCAACTATTTATACGTTCATGAATTCATGAATTCCTCCACAATTTTTTCTCAAAAAGTAGTTTCATTTCGTTTCGTTTTTTTATAGTTTCGTATCGAATCTTACCTCCTGTGAAGGCACGCGTATCTCGAAATCTCTTGTAATACTATTCTCAATAATGCAGAATGAACATCTGCTCCTCACAAAATCTCCCGTCATCCATTCGTCCCATCCCTTGATTGATTGATCGGCCGGTTGACGATGATTGGTTGGTTGGCTGGCTGTGGCTGAATGGATGGTTGACAGTGATTGGTTGGTTGGTATGTTATGTCGTGTTGATTGATTGATTAGTTGATTGATGTATATTTTCATGCATGCCTGCGTGCGTGGATGAATGAGCGAATGAATGAGCGAATGAACGAACGAACGAATGAGCGAATGAACGAACGAAAGAACGATCGAAAGAACGAACGAATGAATAAAAGAACAAAGGAATGAGCGGATGAATGGGAGGACTTAATGTAATGTAATTCGGTTTGAGTATAATTCGATTGGAATGTCATTTTGTTTACGGAAGAGAAACTTCATTCACTTCCACGAACGTTCATTATTTTTAAAAAGAGACCTTCCTGTTGTGTGTGTGTGTCGATTCAGTCTGAATAATTTAATATGAAGTTCAATTGAGCAAACTTCTCACTGAACATATCAGCGAATTCAGTTGCCTGTCTTATTAGAGCATTTAATTTGTTTTGAAATTATTAACTTTTTAATAAAAGAAAAAGAAGTAATTGAAAATCACCTCAAAACAATCTCAGTGAGTTTAAATAATAATTTTCCAAAATATACCTTTAGAAGATTATACTATTTAGTAGAAGATACCGCAAATAAACACACTAATTTTTTAGCTTTGACGCCCTGCACACACAGCATAATGTACGTCACTTTAGTTCACAAGTGTTCGATAGGTGGCCAACTAGGGAGCAATTAAAAACATTACATTAGAAACATTTTTAACAAATTTTTATTAAAATTTTATTAAATAAAAATATTTTGAAAAATTTACATACTGTTTTAAAAAAATTATACGCGTTAAAAACAATTAATAAAAATAAGCCACCTCAAACAAAACTCTAACATTTCTTCATAATCCTCACAGTAGCTCTCAACGCTATCGCTTCTCGGCCTTTTGGCTAAGATCAAAGTGTAGTATCTGTTCTTATCAGCTTAATATCTGATACGCCCTCCATCGGGGGGCATCGATATTAAACTACTGTTTGGAACGAGGGGTATGTCTCGAGCTTGCTCAGACTTCCCCACGGGTTGACCCGGTATTGCAGTACCTCCGGGATTGGCCCATCCCTTCTAAGGGGTAATCATAAATCAATAAAATTTGGTGTGAATGATTGATAGAAGTATGATTATGATTAATTTATTCAACCTGGAGTTGTGTTTTGCTTCGGTTTAATGTTTTTAGAATGTAATCACCACAACACGATTTTTTAAATCTATTACTAAACGATTGCCACTAACTAAACGATCACTAAATTTTAGAAAAAGTTAAGTCATTATAACTCAACGAAATCGATCAGATAATTCAACCACTACAAGGTGCCAGATTTTAACAAAATCACAAGGAATTTAATTATGGATTAATAAATTATCATACGAGAGTAGCTACGAAAGTTATTACGAGAGTTTTTCTGAATATGAAAAACTTACAGTTTACCGCTGAAAAGCTTTGTTACAAATCAGTAAAATTATTAGTAAAATATTATTACATTATTAGTATAATAACAAGGACTAAATGGTAAAAGACCGAAATGTCGCTATATTTTTTTCTCTTCCACACTGCAGTTTTTCGTTGTTTACATTTTTGCGGTATTTTAATTTTGATTATAGCGACGGTTTTTTTTAATTTTATTTTATTAATTAACTAACAAATAATTTAGTAATTAAATAACAAATAGACAAATTAAATTTTAAATGAAACAACATCCCAACCACCACCACCATCGCAAAGTCAACCTGCTTGAATGGCGGCGAAAGATTATGATCACCTTTTTAAATTTCTAATCATTGGAGATAGTGGTGAGTTAAGTAATTAATTTTTTTTAATTTAAATTCAATTAATTACTTAATTTTAATCTAATAAATTTAAAAAAGGCGTTAATTAATCAATCACTCGTTATTCCCCACCCCCTTACTTACAGGTGTTGGCAAAAGTTGCATCTTACAAAGATTTGTTGTAGACACTTTTCCTAGTAAGTAAAAAAAAACTCACCATTTTAAAATTTTACTAGACTGGCTAGTAAAAACAAACATTATTTACACATTTACAGATTTTTTTTCTATGTTCAGCAAATTTTTTTAAATTTTTCCATCCAAGGTTCCTATGTCTCAACGGTTGGTGTCGATTTCAAGATACAGACGCTCAAATTAGACGGGGAGAGAATTAAGTTACAAATTTGGGATACTGCTGGCCAGGAAAGATATAGAACAATCACATCCACGTACGTTAATTAATTATTTTTTTATTTTTTTTTAATTATAATTGATAAATATCACCACCGTATTAGATATTACAGAGGTACACATGGTGTCATAGTGGTGTACGACATAACAAACAGAGAATCATTTCTTAACATTAAGAAGTGGTTGTATGAGATCGATCAGAACTGTGATTATGTACCAAAGATCCTAGGTTTTTTAGCTTATTTATTCATAAATTCATTCGTACATTCGTCTTGTTTTCCATTTATTCATTTGTTTATTATATTTATTAATTCATTTATTAAGTGATTCATTCATTAGGACTATGTTATTCAACTATTTATCCATTTGTTTATTCTTCAATTAATCAATTAATTAATTAATTAATTAATCAATCAATTACTTTTCCAATTATAGTTGGGAATAAGATCGACTCGTGCCATGAGGTTAGTAGGGAAGAATTGAAATATCTGGCCGATTATCTCAACCTACCATTCATTGAATGCAGTGCTAAGCATAACACTAACATCTCTGAGGTATTTATTTTCTTGATGGAGGGATGAATGAGTGGACAAATGAATGAATGAATAAGTGAGTGAGTGAGTGAGGGAGTGAGTGAGTGAGTGGGTGGGTGGGTGAGTGAGTGAGTGAGTGAGTGAGTGAGTGAGTGAGTGAGTGAGTGAGTGAGTGAGTTAGTGAGTTAGTGAGTGAGTGAGTGAGTGAGTGCCAATGAGGGACCTGAAATTAAATTTAAATTTAAATTTTCAGATCTTCGAAACACTGACCAAGCAGGTAGTGAAGGTGAAGAAGGACCAACTAGCCAGACAACATAACAGCAAGCCTGAGTCCATCAAGTTAACATCTAAGAGTCCTAAGTCCAAGAAGAGAGTTCAGAAAAAGTGCTGACTGTGTGTGAAGATTAATTCTTCATTCATTTCATCAACTATTCATTCCTTCGTTTATTCAATCAATCATTCTCATTCATTCGTTTGTTTATTTATTCATTCATTTGTTTGCTCATTCACCTGTTCATTCGTATTTTACTCACTTATATAGCTTGTAACTTTTATATACTTCTGCCATACGTTTATTTATTATGTTTACACATTTTGTTCATTCGATCAATCGTTCAACCATCCATTCATCCATCCATCCATCCATTTATTCATTCATTCATTCATCCCTTCGTTTGATCAATTAACCATTCATTCATAGATTCATTTCTTCGTTTACATGAAATCAAATCTAATTGTAGTGCTGTAGTAAAATTAATGGTTATCAAAAAAATGTAATATTTGTATTTACATTCACTATTCATACACACGCACACGCACGTACAAATACACACGTACACACACGCAGATAAAAAAAATTAAATTATTTGAATCTTTTTTTAATTTAATTTTTATGTTTTGGTCTATGTACATGAATTTTATAACTGAAATAATGGCCTGGCCTGCGCGCTGATATGACGGTAGAGTTCGTTGAAAAGTGAATTGTAATAAATAATGACGTAAAGTATTTAAACTTAAATTTATTCCGAGATATATTATCCACTCACTCGTTTATTTAATTATGGACTGCAGTTGATAATATGATATCTTTTGATTACTGACAGTAGTAAATAGTATTAATATCAGATATAATATTTTGTAAAAGAAGCTATATTAATTTATATGTTTGTTTGTCTATGTATGGCTTTATGTGTGTGCGCTTGTGTTTTTTATGTGTGTTTTTGTACGTGTATATGTACGTGTGTGCCTACGTGCGTGTGTGTGTGCCTGCGTGTGTGTGGGTCTATGTATTTGTTAAATTTCTATTTTATATTGTTTAGCATTATTACTAAACACAACATTAGAGTACGTTCTATTACATTACGTTAAATAACATTACAATAAATTATATATCACTAAAATAATTCACATTAAAATACATTACACGAAATAGGATACATTACATTTGGTTACTATCTAACCCCTCATTACGTTTTGTTACTTCATTCCAAACTATGTACATTTCGGTTGTTCCATTTCATTTTTCAATTTGTTTCCTGTCTCTATCTATAATTTGTTTCCTCTCTCTGTCGGTTTTTCCATGTTGTTTTATTATTTGATTGTTTTTTCAATTTTTTAGAAATAATATTCATGTCTAGACATCTTTCATTTATATATTTTTATCATTTGGTTTTGCATTCATATATACATACATCTTTCCATCTTTTTTGTACTGAGGTTGATGCGGTTTTAGACTCCTTTTGTGATTGCTTTTTTTTCTTATTTTTTGTTGTTTGAAAAAATGAATTAATGCTTTTTTTTATAATTCTTATTTATTTTGATGGTATTGTGCCTTTTGAACGTGAGTTTTTTCAGAGAAATTTTGGTTAATTAACTAGGAAAGAATTTGTTTTTGTGTGCGTGTGCGATAGTTCAATTTTTTGTTCACGTGAAATATCTTTCATTTTAATGCTTTTTCTCGTAGTCAGCTTAGTAGTCTGTGTCGGCCTGTCTGTGTGTTTCCGTGTGTACGGTGTTTGTATTCAACATTTCAGTTAATTTTTACTACTTTTTTCAATAAAATGCAATAAAATTCAATCGAATTAAGTTAAGAGTTTTGAGACTGATTCCAAAAGAAGTTGATAAATTAAATGTTGGTTTCATTTGTCAAGATATGTTGGGTTCAGTTTGAAACAGAAACTGATTTTTAAAAATTAGGCGCTTCACTAAATTATTTTGCTACACATGCGCACTCGTTGTGAGAAATTTTTTAATGAAATGTTTTTAAATGGGCTAGATGATGGTTTTTTTAGGAACTGATTTTAGGCAGGAAGATGTAGAATGTAACCTAACAAGTCGTCGTCATCTCGTATTGTACCCACGTTTTTAAAATGATTTTAAAGTTTTTCTGTGTAATGTGTTTTTTTAATGGTTAGTAAAGTTGATGATGTCTTTTTAAAATTTTACTTTCATTGAAAATTCAATTCTATTTTAAATTCTTAAATTTGATTTAATTTAAAATTTTAAATGGTAGATTATTTTTTCGACTTCAATTCAATTTGAAGTTCAGATCTTGTTTTTGGTTACACTCAAATGTTATTTCCCCGCAGCTTCATTTAGTTACTTGAACCTGTACTTGGATGGGAAAGGTGATGGAATTTTTCAAAAATCAGATTTTAGAAACAACGAAACCAGACCAAATTACGAGGAATTCTCTTTTATCGCCTCTCCCACTATTACCGCAATACAGGCCAGTTATGGCATTTTGGATGCCCGGGCACCCATGCCATCTATTGCAACAGATTTCTTGTTTCAGACTACAGCAGACACCCATCAACTTAATGAATGTTTTATTAGTGCACACCTGGTAACTGAAGAATTAAATCCAGGACAAATGTTGAGGGTTTTATTCCACGTCAATCGAACTGACATGGATCGACGACCAAACTATATTTTAGATAAGAAGGAGTACTTGAAGATGAATGCTCAAAGAACGTTTTGTGTGTTTGCACATGCAGTAAGAAACAACCAAACGTTAACCTCGTATTGTGAAATCAACATGCCAAAAACAAGTACATGTGTAGCCCAAGTGACACTCTCACACAAATGGTGGTCCTATCCTAACTACAAACTAAGGGGCAGTACAAACAGTGATTCATCAAATAAGATCAACAAAAGTGATGATACATCAGACAGTAATGTGAACTTGAATTTTAAATTTGACAAACCAAGTGCAAAGCCATCAATAGCTTTCTTGTCAAGAAACACAGACAACCACAAACATCGCCAAACAAGCACCACAAATTCACAGTACAAACACAAACTCAACGTATTTTACTCAATGAAGGAAGGATCTTGTCCTCACGATCGAAAATTTCCAGGCTCACCGACTCCCAAATTTGCTCTCGGGTATGTCCACCTAATTTCTGACATGTCACCATACATAGGAGTCTTGGAGGACCAGCATGTTGTCATCAACTACCCGACACTTCCTCAAAGTCCTGGTTCAGTTTTTCGACTGCCATTCACACTACAGCCTGATTCCAATCTGCTTGCTTTCGATGTTTTGTTAGTAGGGTTTTTGTTGGCTTTCGAAGCATTTGGTCTCAGATGTTCAATGTTGTTGTTTACATTGTCAATACTCTCTTTCATGTATTATTTTTGTTAAATTGTTAATTTAATTATATATTTCATATTGAATTTCAATTTTTCATTTTCACGTCACTCCAAGTTTTTTTTCTGTCAGTACATATTTTTTTATTGTTCACATTGTTTGTTTTCTTTAAGAAAATTGCTAGCATGCTTACTTTTTATTTATTATTATTGTTATTATTACTTTTTATCTGTCTCTTTGTTCTCAAATGAACAGAATAAAAGGTAGGACTGGACTGAAAATAGCATCACTGCATGAAAAAAATCAACTCTCGTCATCGTCATCATCCTCTTCGTCATCGTCTTCGTCATCGTCGACGTCACCACTTCCAACATCAACAACTGCAGCTACCTCATTATTGACATCATCAAACTTAACACCACCATCATCATCTTCATCATCGTCATCCTTTTCCTCATCGTCATCATCATCAGCATCATCATCGCAAATGACAGCAAATCATAATTGGCACTTCAAACTGGAGACCAATCCTAAATCTTCATCATCTAGGATTTTATGCAGAGCCAGTCCTAATTATACAAGGAGTGTAGTGTAAGTGCAACAATTTTTACTTGTTCTCTCCTCTCTCTTTCTCTCACTCTTTTACTCTTTTTTTTGTATACCTTTTCTCTCTTTCACTCATATTTCTTTCTATAAACTTTTTCTGGTTCTCTTTCTCTCACTTTATGCATGCACAGTATTTTATGCATTGTTGTTGTTGTTGTTGTACCTACATTCTTGTGCATGATTTTTGAATGTGAACATCTTTATGATGTTCACATTCTTGCGCATGATTTTTGACTTGTGAACATCTTTATGATGTGTTCATTCTTATGTATGCATTTCATGTCTGTACACGCACATACACGCACGTGCACATACACGCGCGTGCACATACACACAAACAAATACCTAACGTATGGTTGCACACACACACACACACACACACGAACAGACCGCTGGAGTTATTTGAACTTTACTTTGAGATAGATGAGAGGTTCGCTGTCAGTACTACACAGGAGATGATAAAAATGATGTTCCACATTGAGTACAACACCACAAACGTCATTACCACCAACACCATAAAAAACCAGATCACTCTCAAGATACCATTCAACTCTGACCCTATCTATTACATTGTTCCTGTCATCAAGGTATGTTTGTGATTGTATGTTTTTGGTTGTGTGTATGTTTTCCTATATGTGTGTTTATGAGTGTTTGTGTGTGGGTTTGTGTTTTTTTATGTTTGCTTGTGTGTGTGTGGTGTATGTGTTATTTGCCTTGCTCTCGTCATTATTACTTATGCTGTTAATCATTTCATTGACTCTGCAGACTACGGAGATGATTAACACGGCCCTACTCTCCGGCTCGCCAACTCATTACCCACTGCAGATATATGCTGTTGAATACTCTGGAAAGGTTTATGACATCACTTCCAAGTCGACATGCGAGTCTGCTGATAACTCTGTTGCCTTGGTAACTAGATCATTTGCTGATTTTTATAAATTATGTATCACCCACTCACTCATTCAGAAACATAATTTTTTGTTTAAATCTGTCAGCATCGTGTCTTCATCATGCTTTCGAACATGTCAGTCAATTTAGTTAACCAACCAACCAACCAGCCAACTAACTTACTAACTAACATTTAACTCATCCCCACAGATCGCAGAGTCTCCAGCAGGGATGCGCACAGTGCTGCTAACGGACAAGATGTCAAGTGGCTCGGAGTCTCTCAACATAACGTGCAAGTATGACCGCCATATTAAATTGATCAAGGTCAAGGTCTGGGTCCCTCAGTTCCCCGTCGAGATCAAGTTATCAGACTATAAATTAGGCTCCATTGCTAGCTGGAAGATAAACCATGACAACAACAACAACAATAATAATAATAATTATATTATTAATAATTTTGATAAATTAAACAACAATAAAAACGGTAATAATAATAATAATAATAGTAATAATAATAACAACAATAGAAATAAGACAATTAGTGTCTTGAGTTTGTGGAATGTGAACAATGTCACTGTTAATGCATACAAGTTTGTTGTTGTTGTATTGTTTTTAAAATTATTATTAATTTTTATATTATTAAATTAATTTAATTTAATAACGATAATTAATTAATAATTATAATATTAATAATTATTATTAATTAATAATAATTATAATAATTTAATTTAATAACTATAATTAATTAATAATTATAATATAATAATTAATAATTTAAGTTATAAAAATGGTAGTAAAAAATGGTGTTATGGGTGAGATAGCTGATTGCAGTTGTTGATAATACAAATATAATATATATTTAGTTATTAATTAATTAATTTAATTTAATTAATAAAAATTACTCAACCATCCCTACCGTATTTATAACTTTTTCTCCCAGTTCTACAACATCATCTGCTGATTCGTTGACATCATCAACGACGTCATCATCGTCTTCGTCCTGCCAGCCGAAATTCCAGTCATCAATAGTTGAGGTTTACTGTCATTTTATAGCCATAACTCCTCCCACTTCCCTAAAAAACAGCAACACTCATCGACTGTACCCTCGAAATGTTTTCCAGACCGCATCTGACAGTAACAATCTTAACAACAGTAGCAGTAGTGGTAGTAGAAGTAATAATAGTAATGATAACGATGATAACAATGATGGTGATGAGGATGATGATAATGTTAATATAATCATTGGCAATGGAGATGATGATAATGGTGTTAGTGGCACTGATAATCTGAGTAGTAGTAGTGGTAGTAGTAGTAGTAATAATAATAATAATAATATTATAATTCAAGTAAATAAGCTACCCATGTTCCGAGTTACTCATCTGGTAGCAGATAAATTGAAATTATTAAATTCCTCCATCGCTCGGTTAGTGAAATATGGTGAATCCGTCGTACTTGAAGGATTGAAGCCTGGAAAAACTGAAATCCAGGTTGGCTATGTTAAATTTTCTAGCATTTTATTTTTCAATCACTTTTTATTGTTATTAACATGTACGATGATGAGGCATTGCTTTGCGGTCATACTCGTGCAGTGCTATGTATTTATGGAAAGTTAAATCTTGACACCTTCAAATCTATGCATTTGGTGCTGTACAAATGAAAACTTAAATACATTTCTGATTAAAATAGTGCACTATATAGGTTCCTTATTTATTTACCCAGTTACAAACGGGTAATGGTCGATTGCTTGGCCTGAAAGCATTTCGAGTCACAATGGAGAAGGTAGGCATTGTGAAGTTGGCTGCAAACCTGGTCACTGACATCAAAGTCGATGTGGAAGATTTTGATTCGATAAATGATCAGGTAGGGCTACCTCTGGCGAGGGTCACTTACTCCAACACCTTTGACCTCTATACTCTAGTTCGTGGTTTGCTTATCTTATTACAGTTTGTAATATTACAAATTGAAATTATGGTGAGGTTATTGTAAATAGCATTGCATCTTATTTAAAATCTTAAGGAGAGTAACAACTCCTATCAGTAACTTGGCTGGTTGATATTTTCAGAAAGGTGTTTTAGACGTGCGTCTGGTGTTTGACGACAATACAGAACTTCCCCTACGATGTCTGGACCCAGACACATTCAACCTTGAACTTGTAGTCAACGACAACCATCAACACTTTCACGATAACCACCATCACAATAACATCATTCAGAGTAAGATATTCAACGACGATGATGACGACGACGACGATGATGATGATCTTGACGGCGACGATGACGAAGATGATTACGTCAGTGATGACGTGGGTGTAGATGGCAAAAATGAACTGTTCAACGTCCTCATTGAAGTTCAACAGCCTAACAACAGTGGTGGCTACGATGCAAACAACAAAAACAACAACAAACACAGTAGTAGTAATAATAATAATAATATTAATAATAATAATAATAGAAATAATAAAATCCAAGAAAAACCATACATCATACCCCAGTTAATATTGAATGAGTTCTTCAGAGCCGACATCACCAAAGTTAAATATTTCACTCATTCGTTTGTGCACGCCAAATTTTCGCCGACACTTCCTGATAGATGTTCACCATCCCCGTCTTCGTCATCTTCGACGACGTTGTTTCAGTCAGTCAGAAAGGTAGTATTGGCCCAAGGGAAAGCTGACTTCATGATAGATTCATTGATATTCGACAGACTGACTAACAAGTACCGTGAAAGAAATTCATCGTCATTTATAACTGACGACGGTGAGGAGGAGGATACTGGCGGCGAGAATGCAGGATTCAACGAGAAGAGGAATGATCTTTCCTACGTCAAGTGATTCATTATATTTGGTTTATCACTATTTTTTACTGAAATTTTGCATTTCGTTTTTTATAACAATTAAATTTGCTACTAATTGCAGTAAGAAGCTGTTCAACAACCGCAAAAGTATGACAACTAATCGCAACAACAATAACGTTCAATTGACCAGCAACAACAACAACAACAACAACAATGCTTACCAGAAAATTCGCAACATCACACCTCTTGAAACGGCCATGTTCGTTGCAGTGGTCATATTTTGCGTCATAGTGGTTGGCCTGCTCATCCACTGGGTGGTTGGAACGGCATGCAAGAGGCGTACACTTAAGGTGAAGGACAGTGCCGGGGTTGGTAGCGGTGGGGTATGCGGTGTCGAAAATGATTGGGTCTGGATCGGCCACAAAACATTAGAGAAAAATTTGGTGCAGACAACTTGCTTGGCAACACTAATGCCAGAAGAAGACTTCAACAGTTCCATGAGTGCCGCTGGCGGAGGAGGAGGATTGGGTGGCTGTCTGAACAGTGGTGTCAACTGCGGAGGTAATGGCATCTGTGGTGATGAACCTCCTCCCCTGCCACCTAGGGAATGGAAGCGTAGTGAGAAAAGTTGCGGAGATTTTCAACATCAGCAGCAACAAATGCTACTACTGAGTCGACATAACAGACATAAGAAGAAGCTACTATTACAGCAGCAACAACAACATCAACAACAACTTGACAGTGAGAACAACAACGGCAGCCATCTTGTTCAGAACCACCATCTTAGGACCAGTGACAAGAGGAGAACCCTATCATCCGCCGAAGATTTTCGGCTTCCCGTTCCCCCAAAACCAGCCCGATCCATGCGGTTGTCGTCCTCATCTTCTTCATCCAACATGGCCGCCAAGATACCCGATGCATATTTCATTAACAATTTGAATAGCAAGCCCCAAACGAGCAGTATATTAATGAAGAATAACAACTTCAACAATAATAATAATTTGCTGAATAATACTAACAGCGGCCACCTTATAAATTGTGTTCATGGCGTCAGCAGCACCAGCAGCAACAACAACAGCAGTTCAGTCGAGGCAAAGTTTTTAACTGATCTCAACAACTACGGCATCATATCTTCCGCCGCACCAACCACAAACATCATCAACAACAACAACAACAATCTGATGACATCCACAAATGACAACATTCTGTTAATGGGAGCTGGAGGAGGAGTTTATTCCAGTGAGATGCATAATAATGAGATGAATTCAACCAATCAGCAACAGCAGGAGGTGTGGCTTAAAAAGTCATCAGCCAGTGAGCTCACAGCTTCGAGGAAAGCCCAGCGAATCAGGAGACTTGAAGAGGCTGCTGCAGCCAGTGGCTCTGATGTCGACTTCGAGTGTGCATCCATGGAGGAGGAGAAGTTTGTTAAATATCTAGAGAGTCTGAAGGAAACATCTGCCTGATCGGTCTTTTGTAATTAATAAATAATAAATAAATAAATATATATTAAATATAAATAAATATATAAATAAATAATTATAAATATGTATAACATTATATATACTTTTGTATCTATTTATAAATGTACAGTGCATATATTATATTCATTCATTGAATAGCGAAAGAATTGATTGATTTGTTAATCAATTAACGAGTTAATTGGGCAATTATTGTTTAATTAATTGGTACCAGATTTTTTTTTTCATCTGTAGCCAAAGTATTTTTTAAATTATTTTATAGTAAAGAAGTTTTATGATGACAACCAACTTTGTATTTCTCGACCTCATTCATAATAATAAAAATAATAATAATATCTATAATGATATTATTAAAAATAATAATATTGTTATTATTTCTCAGTATTTTTATGATGTCTATTCCCAAATAATCTGTATTCCTTTGATTGGGGCTATTTTTATCTCAAGAATTTTAAATTGTATTAAAAGTATGACAATGAAAGAATTTTGAGAATAAATTATGTTAATGAGATTTTGTATAAAAAGGTTAAATTAGCAATTTTTGTGTATGAAGTTTTTGGTGTTAATGTTGGTTTTTTATCATTTTTTTTACAAACACTCTGTAGCATTGTCGAATGAATTGATGGTTATTTTCATACATTTCAGTACATTTATATTGTTAAACATTGAATGTTGTTTGGAGTAAATGGACGTGTGTTTGTGTGTCTGTCTGTGTGTTTGTGTGTCTGTATGTGTGTGAATTGATTTTTAAGAGTAAAATTTTTTCAATTTTTAACGTCAATTGTTCAATTAGTTCTACGGACATTTATGTTCAATCATTCAATTTATTCATTCATTCAGACGTTTACGCTGATAAGCATGTTATTTATTGCTCGTATGTACATACTCCAAGAAATATTCGAATATTAGTTTATTTATATGTTTATTTAATTATTTACCTATTTTAGTTTTATTAATTTTATTTCGGTTAAATCTTGCTGTTGCTTCGTTTATTTAACTTCTTCACACGTACCCTTATATGTGAAGCTTAAACAACACTGTTGGCTGACTTTGATGAATTTGCAAGCATTTTGATTTTGTTTCACCATTCTATGTTATGTTTTGTATTGTTTTAATGATCTGATGTAATGTTTTTGGTTGCCGTTTTTGTTGTTGTTGTTTCAAATTTTTAATGGTGACAGTTAAAATTTTTGTTTCATTTCCAGATCATTCCAGTTTTCAAAAAGAGTTTTTTTTTATATGAAAGATTCGCGTAAATCTGTCTATTCGTTCTGCTGTTTTCATTTATATTATTTTACTGTTATTATTATTATTATTATTATTGCCGTTGTTGTTGTTGTTTTTTATGTAGTGTCGTCTTAGAGGACTTTTACTTTCTACATTATATTTCATTTTAATATTTTAATAAAGAAAGTATTTATTCATTGATCATGTGTAATATGAATATTTGTTTGCGTGCGTGCGTGCGTGTGTTTTATTCGTTTTTATACCAAAAGATTTTTCCATTCATTCCATCATCTTTTTCCCGATATGTTAACATACATGTATTTATTTCTTGCCATAAATATTTATTTATTCATTCATTAGATACGTTATGTTTTCCCAGATGGTAAACCTATTTTCAGGAATTTACCAAAAAAATATAGACAAATAACCAAATATAAATATTTATATGTGTGTGTGCGCGTGTGTTTTGATTGATTTTAATTTTTTATTTGTCTGTCTGTCTGTCCGTCTCTTTATCTTTCTGTCTGTCTGTTTCTTTATTTCTCTGTCTGTCTGTTTCTGTCTGTCTGTTTTTGCTTATTAGTCATACATGTGCATTGTTAAAATCAATAATATATTTACACTGCTAATTTTTCTCATCGTGAATTTAAAAAATTTTTTTTTTCGATAATAATTTTTTGAAGCTGAGTTCATTTTAAAAATAATAATTTTATGTTTTGATTTTATTCAATCGTTGCTGATTCGGCTTTTATCGTATATGCTAGTCATATTGATTGGTTGATTGATTGATTGATTGATTGATTGGTTGGTTGGTTGATTGATTGGTTGATTAATTGATTGACTGATTGGTTGATTGATTGATTGATTGATTGATTGATTGATTGATTGATTGATTGATTGATTGGTTGGCTGGCTGGCTGGTTGGTTGGTTGGTTGGTTGATTGGTTGGTTGGTTGGTTGTTTGGTTGATTGATGAAACAAAGTCATTCATTGAATTTCATTTTATACATATTTGTATGTGAGTGTATGTATGAGTGAGTGTGTTCGTGTGTGTGTAATTTGTTGTAATGTGTATTTTTTTTATCACATGCCGTTGCAATTGACAGCTCTAGTCGGTTTACAAACATTCATTATAGATTGTTTTGTAATTATTCGATTGATTAATTTGTTAATTAAGTAATTAATTAATTGAAACATTAACTCAATTATGTAATTATTACCTTTCTGTTACGTAGGTACAAATTTTTACATGTCTTTATAAATGGTTGTATAAACATTTTTAACATTCTTCTAACTCTTGATACAATTTTTATATATATATATATATATATGTATATATATATATATATATATGTATATATATATATATATATATATATATATATATGAAGTGAAGGTGGCTGAAAATTGGGAGAGTGGTAAGGATGGAGATGTTTGGGAGAGATACAGGGACTGTGTGTTGGCTACGGCAGATAAAGTATGTGAATGGACGAAAGGAAAGTGTAGGCATGGTGAGACGTGGTGGTGGGATGAAGATATAAGAAGGGTTTTGGAAGTCAAGAAGGAGAGGTTTAGGGTATGGAGAAGAGACATGACGGAGGAAGCGGAGTCTGAGTATAGGAAGGCTAAGAAGGTTGCAAAACAGGCAGTGGCAACTGCAATGACGAATGCATCAGATAGGTTAATGAAGGAAATGGAATTTGATGTGAGTTCGAGGAAAATGTTCAAAGTAGCAAAGCAGTCAATGAGGGATAAGAAAGATGTTATAGGGAATGGATGTGTTTGGGATGGATCTGGCAAGTTGTGCATAGATGAGGAGGAAAAAGCTCAGGTGTGGAAAGCTCATATGGAAAGGTTGATGAATGAAGAGAATGAGTGGGATGGAGATGTGGAATCCGCGGTCACACACGGACCTATAGAGAAGGTGACGATGGAGGAAGTAGAGAAAGCAGTTAGAGAAATGAAACTAGGTAAGGCTGCAGGGGTTTCGGAAGTGGCGGCAGAACATATAAAAGCGAGTGTGGTGATAGGAATTGAAGTTATGATGAGAATTGCTAACAGTATGTTTGATGATGAAGGTATACCTGAGGATTGGCGACACAGTGTGTTGGTGCCGTTGTATAAGGGCAAAGGAGATGTGAGAGATTGTGGGTCATATAGGGGTGTGAAATTACTAGAGCACGGAATGAAGGTAGTGGAGAGGGTGCTTGAGAGGAGGTTGAGAAGTATGGTGACAGTTAATGAAATGCAGTGTGGGTTTATGCTTGGTAGGGGAACGGTGGATGCGTTGTTCATGGTGAGAATGTTGCAGGAGAATTATAGAAAGAAGAAACGAAGATTGTACATGTGTTTTGTGGATCTAGAAAAGGCTTTTGATCGAGTACCGAGGAAGGTCATTGAATGGGCGTTGAGGAAGAAAGGAGTGAATGAGAGACTTGTTAAAGCTGTGATGCAGCTGTATGAAGGGGCAAAGACAAAGGTGAGGGTTGGAAGGGGGATATCGGACGCTTTTAGTGTTAAGGTAGGAGTGCATCAAGGATCAGTGTTATCACCGTTTCTGGTTGCAATTGTGATGGATGTTGTGTGTGGAAACATAATGGAGGGGTTGTTGTTTGAGATTTTGTATGCAGATGATTTAGTTTTGATGGCTGATAGCATGGAAGAATTGCAGTTAAAATTTGACAGATGGAAAAGTGTTATTGAAAAGAAAGGGTTAAAAGTTAATATTGGTAAGACGAAGGTAATGGTGAGTGGGGAAGGTGGGGAGCGAGTGATAAGTAAAATAGACTCCTGTGGGGTATGTGACAGGAGAGTGAAGGCTAACTCGGTGTTGTGTATAGGATGTCAGAAATGGGTGCATAAGAGATGTAGTGGTTTGAGGGGGGCACTGAAAAAGGTGGAAGGCACGTTCAAATGTAAGAAATGTGTTCATGGTGTGATTAATAGGACGGACGCAAGGACGGGGTTGAGTGGTGGTATTGAAAGAGTGGGAAGCTTTGTTTACTTAGGGGATAAGCTGAATGCGGATGGAGGATGTTTGAGCGCAGTTACGGCTAGAGTTCGTGTGGGATGGATGAAATTTAGGGAACTGGGTGGGGTATTGTGTGGAAAGAAATGGTCAGTGAGGATGAAAGGGAGGGTATATAAAGCATGTGTGAGAGCAGCGATGGTATATGGTGGTGAAACTTGGGTGTTGAGGAGAGAGGAGGAAAGTGTACTGCAGAGGGCTGAAAGAGCTATGGTGAGGATGATGTGTGGGGTTAAAGTGAAGGATAGGAGGAGTAGTACAGAGCTGATGTCAATGATGGGACTGAATGAGGACATTGTGACATTGATAAGGAGATCGAGATTGCGGTGGTATGGACATGTGTTGAGAAGGGATGAAAGAGTCGGGATTAGGCGAACGTTGGAGTTCGAGGTTGAAGGAGTGGTAGGAAAGGGTCGTCCGCGATTGGGATGGAGAGAGCAGGTGGAAAAGGACAGGGTGAAAGCGGGGTTGCGTGATACTGAGGCGAGTGACAGATGTGGATGGCGTCGAGGGGTATTTCGGTTTCATCATAGGTAGCCAAACGGCAACCCCCGATCTCGGGGAAAATGCCGTCTAAACGTGTGTTGTTGTTGTTGTTGTGTGTGTGTGTGTGTGTGTGTGTGTGTGTGTGTGTGTGTGTAGTTTTATTCCTATTTAATAGTTTACATTGAATGCGTCCTATTTTTATATAAACCTATACATTGCTTTTAAAATAGTCTTTTAAAGCTATGTTAAGAGGTCTGCTAAGTTGTTGGGAATATCTGTGTGTATGTGTGTGTGTGTGTTTGTGTATCATTTACTTATTCTATCTTATTGTTGATAAGACGTTATTATGACTGGCGATGATTGCAATACTTAATGTTTCTAATTTTCTAATCCACATTGTTACTTCATTTACTACTACTACTACTACTACTACTACTACTACTACTACTACTACTACTACTACTACTACAAGAATATTTGCATTACTACAACTACCGTTGATACATTTACTACTATTTTTGCTACTACTGACGCAGCTGCTGCTGCTGCTGCTGCTACTACCGTCACTACAACCATTCGAACTTATATTGTTAGTACTGCATCATTTACTATGATGTATTTTATACCTGCCACCGCTCAACTACTCGTACTACAGCCGCAGCTTCTGTTACTACTATCCCTGCTGCTACTGCTACTAGTAGTGTTAGTATTTTTGCTGCTACTATTACTACAACTACCCAACTGCCAAACAGTCAAACGCTAATGAATAAATCAGAGAAAGAGAGAGAGAGAGGGAGAGAGAGATCCATTGTATCTATTAATTATTATTGTTATTATTGTTGTTATTATAGTTGTTGACTTGTTATTATTGTTGTTGTTGTTGTATTTCTTGTTGTTTTTGTTGTTATATAAACTAACTTTAAAAGGCAACAATCGCTTGTAATTATCAGCTGCATTTTTGAAATACATTCAACTGTACACACAAATGTATATATATATATATATATATATATATATATAATCTTGTGAAATTCGAACATATATATATATATATATATATATATATATATATATAGTTTGTCTTTATTATTAGCTTTTCCTTAATTCGTGTCCCAGTCGATCATAGCGGTCGTTCACGATGTCGCTTCCAGCAGTCCGTGGTTTGGCCACATACCACATACACAGCATATATATAAAAGCGTCTCTTTTGAGTTTTTTATTTGCAAAGTGATAATTAAAAACTGAGTTACTAATATTTTTCATTTATTTGATTCGTTCATTGATTCGTTTGTTCATTCGTTCGTTCATTCATTCGTTCGTTCATTCATTTGTTCGTATTTGTTTTGATAGATCTTTTAGTTCACATGTGTGGTGTGTGTGGGTAGCAAAATTTTATATCTGTATAATAACTTTATGCTTTCTGTATCATAGTTTTGGTTCGTTTATATATATTTATTTTATTTGTATATAATTATTTCGAAAATGTTGAACAAATATCATTAAGCTTTAACATTAATTTGTCATGTTTATTCCTCGCAAACGATATTCTGAAAATTTACTATAGTAATAATAATAATGGCACCACTAAGTAATCCTGTATGATGATATCATTCAATTTGAATTAAGTTTAAATTGTATCTAAGTATCATAATGTTTGTAAATCCTGATGATGTGTAATTTATTGTTAGTATCATTTTCATTGTCAACTCCACTCACTCAATCACTTAAAACGTTTCTTTCCGTGTGAAGAATATTTGATATGAATAAAAGAAAACGTTTTCTCCTAGTCCATCTTCTTCGTTTTTGTATTTTTTTTCACTCAAATCCCTCCATTTCTCTCTCCATTTCCATCTGTCTCTTTCTTTCTCTCTCTCTCTCTTTCACTCTCTCTCTATATATATATATAAACATGTATAGAAGTTATAATTATGATATATGTAAGTAGCTATACATTCGTAGTACATATATTAAACTTTTTTCATGTATGTGAACAGCCAATGCTTATGAAGTTATGAAGAATTTCCACATGTGTACATGTTTGTTTGTGTGTGTGTTTGTGTGTATGTATGTGTGTGTGTGTGTGTGTGTGTGTGTGTGTGTGTGTGTGTGTGTGTGTGTGTGTGTGTGTGTGTGTGTGTGTGTGTGTGTGTACTAGTATATACTCACTAATGAACCAAGGTATAAGAGGCATATTAAGTATGTGTTGGTATTGTATGGATAGTTGTAGTTGTTGTTGATAATTTCCTTATTATTACTATTATTATTAATGTTGTGGTTGTTATTGCTGTTGATACGTACAACATAACGCCTACCGTTCTATACAATGTAGACTGAGGATTCTTAACTGTTGCAAATTTTCGCCTAACCTAACATAGTTGGCCGTCACTAGTGAGCCAGTGGAGCGTAAAATTTTGTTAACTCTTATTAATTTCTTTATAATTTCGTGAAATTGGCTCGTGTTAATTAGTTTTGTATTTTGAAATTATGATTATCATTATTTTATTCTAATTAAGCTCTTAAAAATTTTTCCTAGCGACCAAAACAATAATGATACAATAATGATTTTACTAGGCAACGCAAAATGAAAACATCTCTCGCGTTGTTTCTGTGCGATGCTTCTGTAAATTAACCAATGAAATTGCCAATCTCAACTGTGAACGAACACTATTGGCTCAAATGTTTTGCGATGCTTCTGTGCGAATGTTCTAATGATCAGACCAATCCGAGTATTTATATATAAACAATAACAGCCAATGGCTGAATAAACGAGTTGTGTATATAACGTTGGCCCAGCGAAAGTTTAAAGTCACGCGCCTTTTTGATCAAGTTTTGGTTTCGTGAAGTCTAAAGTGTTTGGAGTTTTTGGCTTTTCCATAAAAAGTGAGTTATCTCCATTTTCAAACTTTTTTTTACTAGGTATATTGCGTCATTCACGTAAAAAGTTCTGTCACGGTTTTTATTTTAATTTTATGCTCGATTTTTCTATATTTATCCTTATCAGTTTATTTTATTTTTTCTCCACTCTCTAGCTAACATAAGACCGATCGAACTGACACTATACTATAAAATAAAAAAAACTAAATACAAATTGTCTTTTCTATCAGATTGCCATTTTTTGAAACTGCCATGTTTTATGTCTTTATTTATTAGATTCGTTCTTTTCCTATTAAATTGAAATTCATCGTTAAATTCGAATTGTTTAATATCGGTAGCGGTGTTCTTGCTTTTTTATAAAAGTTATAATATTACGAATTGTTATTTAACAGCAATCCCAAGATGTCTGACAGAAAAGCCGTTATCAAGAACGCCGACATGTCTGAAGACATGCAGCAGGATGCGGTGGACTGCGCCACACAAGCTCTTGAAAAATACAACATTGAAAAAGATATTGCTGCATACATCAAAAAAGAATTCGACAAAAAGTACAACCCGACATGGCACTGCATAGTCGGCAGGAATTTCGGAAGCTACGTCACGCATGAGACGAAACACTTCATTTATTTTTATCTTGGTCAAGTCGCCATTCTCCTGTTTAAATCCGGTTGAGTGATGAGATGCCGTTCCAGCACAGATGGAAGAAAGAACTCGTTTTTATTATTTCTCACATTTCTATTGTTAATTGTTGGCCATTAAATTCTCAACAATATTGACGATTCTTTATCACCGAAAAATGTTTTAATTTTTTCAAGTTGAACAGATTTTTGTTTTTTTATTTTCATTTTCCGTTATGCCGAGAGTTTAGAAGTGTTTGTGGCCGGTAAATTCGCCGTCATCGGTCAGTGCCGAATTTGCAAATGTTAATAAATAATGTCGTATTTAGTGTCTTTGTGTCTGCCATTGTTTTTTAAAAATGACCAAAATATTAATTTTGTTCGTATGACGAGCCGTTGTATCTCGCTTTAATAAAGAATCGTGAATCATTAGTGAAGTTTGAAAAAATAATATTAATTTACGGCGCTGGATTTTTAATCGTTCTCTGTCTGCACTCTGCATCGCGTTAATTTAAATTTTAATACAACTCCACTACAACTGTAGCCTGTTCTGTCTGTAGATCGGATTGTTAGCTGTTGGGGACAGTTAAATAGCAGCACGCCGGTGGACCATCTTGCATCCTAGCTTGGCATTTCTGCATTACATCCATATGAGTATGCCTGTTAAGCAATCCGGTTGTCATGTTTGCTTGTTCTTGAATTAATTTTTTTTATTTAATAATGAATAATGCAAATAATCTTAATTTAGTTAATTTTTATTTGAAATAAAATAAATAAATTGAGTTTGCATTAGCAACTTGTTATTTGACCAAACATCATTATGTATTATCATTATCATCATTGATAATGATAATAAACATAATGATAAAACATACTTCTCTTATTACTTCTCCATCACTTGCGAAGTTCAGAGCGGATCTCAAGACCCATCTGTTTTCAAAATTCATTGAGGAGCGCTGTTGAACATCGCGGAAATAGCGCTTTATAAGCTAATTGATTGATTGATTGAGTTAAAAATTAAAATTTTAAAGAAATGTAGTTCACCATGTTTAGGAAAATAATTTTTTAATTTATAAATATAGTAAACTAAAATTATATTTTTTGAATGTATTGTATGTAAATTCAACCTATTTTAAACTCTTACAGCCAGTAATAATGATGATGTTACTGTGATTATGATACAAATGATCCTTTGTGACTTTGAGTTATATTATATATGTACAAGTACATATCATAAATTAGGTATAGCTTTTTTTAATATTTTGTATGCACACTATATATACATGCATGCGTATATACATGTGCATTGTGCATGCATGCATATATACATGTGCATGCATAGTCATCAACATCAATCATTATGGCAAACAATATCTTTCTCCATTATTACACATAATAGCTGAACTATTTAGTATTTAATAGATGAAATAACCTGCTTGTTATACATACACTCTATCCATGTTTATTTGCCTACCCATCTATGTGTATGTGGCATCTATATTTTTAGTGTCCTGTAGTTCTTTATCAAGAGATGTACAAACAACACAGCTTTGATGCTCAATTTATTCATTCATGTTTTGTTTGTGGTGTGGTGTAGTGTAATCTTCAATCATTTAACTTTTTTAAAGAGTGTTTTTAACTTTTTTTAAAATTCAACTGTAAAAAATTTACTTCTAATGTAAAGTTTGTGGAGTTGGCAAGGTAATAATGTGTTAGGTGTGTTGTAATTGGTGGTTAGAGAGAAAAAATTTAAAACAAAAATAATGATATAATATTAATTTTAAATATAAAAATTTATTTAGAAGGACTTGGTCACACAGATCACATGATAAAAAATGACATTGACAACAGCAACAATAATAATAACATAAATGACAACGATGATGATGATAGTTTGAAAAACTTATCTAGCAAAACAATGAGTAGAAGTGGTTAGTATGGTTGACTGACTATTATTATTATTTAGTTTTGTTGTTGGTATTATTAATATTTGTTTTATTTTCAGATAGATAAAATTTACTGACTCTCTTCTTTTTAAATGCTCATCATGATATAAACTTTTAAATGGATCAGAAATGTATTACACATTTGAAATATGAATATTGCTTAAAATGGTTTTTAAAAAATGTTTCTGAATTGTGTAGATGCACACAGAGCCCTAGAGCTGCTTGAGGAGTACTACGGTCGCCTAATTCGACCACAAGATCAAAACTTGAGGCTGGCCATTGAGAGAGTTATCAGAATTTTCAAGAGCAGACTTTTCCAGGCTCTGTTAGGTCAGTTTGTTGATGTGATTGTTGGCTGGACTAAAACAAAATTACATTTTTGTTATTTTTTTTTGTATTTTTGATTCTCTTCACTGTGGGCATGAGAATTTTGAGACATTAACAATTGGTGTTGTTTCAATATGACATAATATTAAACAGATATACAAGAATTTTACGAAGTAACACTGCTTGATGATGAAAAGTCAGTTGAGCAGAAGACTGATGAGACTCTTCTGGTGGCATCAAGGTGGGAGGAGAATCCACCCATTGCCAGCAATCGACCGCTTTCAAATGTAGGTCTGATTGATTGGATTATTTGATTGGTCAGTTGATGGACTGGCTAGCTGATTGGTTGACTGAGTGAATGCGTGAGTGGCTGACTGATGGCAGATATATTTTTACATCATTGTATAATATTTATGTATTTCCAACCTGATATAATTTTTATTAGTGTCATTCAGATAATTCGAATGTCTCATTCTGCAGAGAACAGCTCAAAGCCAACATGACTACAGCAGCTACCAGCAGCAGCAGCAACAGACAACTTCAGACCTGGACCCTGTCCCTGTATTACCAGTTTGTTTTTGATGTTATATTATTTTTTTGTTTTTGTGTTGTTTTTTAGTGTCACTCTTTAATTTGCTTTGTTTACTGCTTACTCCCATCACCCCTGATTAGCTATTTAATTGAAATAAAATTAATGCTATTTAATAGTTACAATATTTTAGTTAAATGACTGGTTAATTAATGTTAGAATTAATGAAATATTTGATGGATCAATCAGACGTCACCAACCATGAGGCCCTCGTTCCACCAATCACAGATGCTGTCGGGCGGACCCCTGCACCAACAGGTCAATGCCCTCTCCAAGTCACTTCACCAGCTCTCTCAGCAGCAACAACAATTTCAACAACTGCATTACCAGCAGAACAATAATGTTTGTAGGGTTCTTCGGCTTGTTTATTTATATGCTCGTTCTCCTTCAATGATCATCATATTGAGGTTGAAGGATTATGAATTGAAAATGCTGTTTTTTTACTCAGCTTTATATGTTTTTTTTTACAAAAGCATACATTTTTTAAACTTCTTTATTCATTTTAAATATACATAATATTTTAATTTTTAATAAAAAAATGTTCTTTTTCACACCAAAATACAGAATCAATTTCAGACCCACCAACAGCAGCAGCAAATACCGCAGCAGCAGCAGTATCAAAGACAGCATCAACCACCGCACGTTCCACAGCGTGGAGCCCCTCTGCCAGCCACGTGCCCATCATCCCCTCTCTATCAGTCTATCAAGAAACAGCAGATAGTCAAGGTTCTTTGATTTTCATGGTGCAGTTATAGTAAAATTATGATATTCATCAGATGAAGGGGATGACGAGATGGTGAAGATGATGATAATTTCGAGAAGGATGGTAATATCGTTGAGGAAGATGACGATGAATTGATGACAGACTCTGATGGTGAATTTGATATTGATGGGCGGGCGATGGCGTAACGGTAAAGTGCTTTGCCCTGCCATTGCAGTGACGGGGATTGATTGTGAAGAGGTCCCCGCATATCACATTCAATGTCCGGGATGCGTTCGTTTCACATGCATTTACAATTACATGTACTGAGCGTGTGTTTGTAGTTGATTTTGAAGGACTGAATAAGTTATTTTTATGATGATGTTAGTGATGAATACAGTAGTAAATATAGTGATCAGTATGAAAATTATGATTTTAACGTCTAGTTATAATGATGGTGATTGTGATGGTGCTAATAATGTTTACCTAGTAATAATATAATAATATTTAATAATAATATAATGATAATTAATTTAATAATAATTTAATAATATTCACCAATATTTATAATGGTGCTATTAATATTTACCCAGCCTATAACATTGGACGATTGGGAATATGAAACCATCAACCTAGATAGAGTGAGTAATGGTGGCTGATGGTGATGATGATGATGTTAATGGTGATGATAATAATTATTATTAGAACATTTATAAAGCGCCAATTGAATCAATATCTAAGAGTCACTATCACATTCATATTAAATTTACGATCACAAAAATAATAGCAATAAATCAAATCCACAAAAAAACAAAAAGGTTAAATGTCAAAGGTCAATTACACTCTTCCAAAGTTCAGAGGATTCAACAAAGCGCACAAAGGCAAAAGCACAAACATCGTATATGAATACGGGCTAAACGACGTATCACACGCGAAGCGTGTGATAGGCGGGGATCTTTTTGTCCTATTCAAACCCGGTTACTGCGAAACAGCACCAGGCGACCTTAACCATTAGACCATCACGCCCAAAAATCTCTAACAATAATCGAACCTGATAAATAAATTTCAATTCCAGTGGTTACACACCTTCAAATAAGCCATTCTCTAAATAAATGCATTCAGACTAATAGTTTATCACCAAATGATAGAACCAATTGAAAATATTTGCCAAAATAAATAAATAAGCAATATCAACCAGTGACTTTATTTTTAATGTGACTGGTCAATGTTGATGAAAATTATATTCGAAACTGATGTGAAATAAATTAAAGAAAAATAAATTGCTAGAAAAAAAGTTAAGTGGCTGTCTGAGACTTGTTAACAGAATAAGAATAATTAATTAATTGATTTAATTGATTAATTATCTATTTGAAAATGCTTTCATTTATATGAAGCTATGTATGGTTGCAAATTTTTTAATCTCAATTTAAAGTATTTTTGATCGAAAATATGGAATAGGAAATAATTTGAGTTGGTGTTTGTGTGCGTGCAATATGCGATATGATACATGATGATACTCTACGATCACAAGGGTGGGACAGGATTGGGCTTCAGTATATCAGGGGGTACAGATAACCCCCACGTTGGGGACGACCCTGGCATCTACATCACTAAAATCATTGAAAATCGGGCTGCCTCGATTGATGGCCGACTCAAGTTGGTGTTTTATTTTATTTGTTTTGTCATTTTTTTTTATTCTGTTGTATATATTTGTAGCCATTATTTTTATTTTCAATTCGCTTTCTTATTTTTCAAAATTTTTCATTTGTGTTACACAGGATCAATGATATGATAGTCTCTGTCAATGGGATTTCCACAATTGATGTAACACATGCAGAGGCCGTAGCGGCCCTCAAAAAAGCTGGAAATTCCGTTTCATTGGTTGGTTTATAATAGACTGAAATTAGCTTCAGTTTCGTTTTGATATTTTTTTTTACAATTTCAACTGTTACAATTACTGTTGTCTCCGTTGCTGTAACTGATGTTGTTGATGTTGCTGTTGCTGTTGCTGTTTAGTGAAATTTCATTGGCAACAATTGCTTGTTTTGTGAAAGGTTGTGAGAAGAAAGAAACTGATGTCCTCATCGTCTTCCTCGGCAGCTGCCCCTGACGATAATGTAATTTTGTTGGAGCTCGTCAAGCGCAGTAAAGGTGCGTTTTAATTTATTTTTTTGCAGTAAGTAATTTACATTTTTCAAATGTTGTTTCTTGTATTCATTTTTTACAAAAAAAATTATTCACCCAAACTGAAAATGCCCCTAACTCCATAAGGGTTGGGATTCAGCATCGCCGGTGGAGTGGGAAACGAGCACATCCCTGGCGATGTGGGCATCTACGTTACGAAGGTGATTGACGGAGGAGCTGCACAGGTGGATGGTCGACTACAAGTTGGAGATAGACTTCTGGCTGTAAGCACTTTTTTCTGTTTGTCGATGATGTTCATTTGCTACTGAGATTTTTTTGTGTCAGTTTTAAAAGTTGTCATAGAAAAGGTTATTGCTTTGGGAGTTATAATCATTGTTAATATCATTTTCCTATTATTTTATATTGTTTTGTACTTGTGAACTGTTAATAACTTATTATTATTATAATTATTCCTGATACGAAGGTCAATGAGGTGTCCTTGGACAATGTGACCCATGAAGAAGCGGTGGCTGCTCTTAAAGCCACCAGGGAGTATGTGAGGTTGCTAATTAGGAAGAGGCCAAGCTATGATGGTTGGTTATCACGTTGATGATGAGGAGGATGTTGCAATTGTTATTGTTGATGATGCTGTTTTTGTTGATTAAAATGAGGGAATGTTTGAGTAAAATGATTGTAATTGTATTGGATGCTATCAGGCTCCCATAATTATCATTGATATTAGGGCCAGATGGCAGTCAGCCCCTCACCCCTCTGATGGGAAACTCTCCAAGGGTCATGAGTTCCATGCCCCACCTACCAATGAACCACGTGACCTCTCCACATCCTCACTCTCTACAGCAACAACCTCAGCAACAGCAATCACTGATAAACAACAACAGCACCATGAGTCGTTTTGGAAACGTAAATTCTAGCTACTCCAGTATCAACTACAACCTTGGTCGGACCTTTTCCAGAGGTGATGACGAGCATGACGTGGGTCGAGAACCCAGAAAGGTCGTTATGAAAAAAGGACCAAACGGCCTAGGGTTTAATATTGTCGGGGGTGAAGATGGTGAAGGAATTTTTGTATCTTTTATACTTCCTGGGGGTTCTGCAGATCTGAGTGGTGGTCTCTATAGAGGTGATCAACTTCTTTCGGTTAGTTTTCAGTTATTCAGTTACAAATCTTTTTAAATAATTTAATTCTTACAATAGTTCAGTTAATTTTAGTTGTCATATTTGACCATCATGTGTGAGCCTAAGTGACCTAAACTACTGCGTACTACTCACACAGGTAAATGGCATAGACATAACAGGAGCCACCCACGAACAGGCTGCTGTAACCTTGAAGAGTGCCGGTGATGTTGTGGAGGTCATTGTCATATATAAACCTGAAGGTTTGAGAGATTTTTTTGCAGCTGTGATTGAATGTGATGATGATGAGGAAGATGATCATTACTACATTTGATGATGACCTCTTATGTTGATTATGATGACGACAGGTATGGTTGAAAAAGTTTTGATAAACGTCTTGCATTCGTAAGAGGTCACATTTTTTTTCATAATTGTATTCTGATTTGTTGAGTGAGAAAAAGAGAGAAAAAAATGACAGAAGAAGAGCAGACAAACTTGTTTCATAATTTCATTGACAAATATACAAATAATTAAGCACCACACACATATATATAAACCTTCAGACATGTACAAACATTCGGACACGTACGTGTGTATACAAAACTATACAGAATACAGTCGATTTGAAGCAAAAATCCACGAGTTGAGAGAGCAGATGATGAGTTGTGGCAACACTGGAAGTTTGAGGACCACTCAGAAGAAAATGCTTTTTGTCAGGTGTGTACATGCAGTTGGTGTTGTTGCTGGTTGTATGGCTATTTTTTTATTTATTAGCCTTCATCCTCTTCACCATCAGGGCCCTGTTCGACTACGACCCATCAAAGGACAGTGGCCTGCCAGGAAGGGGTCTCATTTTCAAGTTTGGAGACATCCTGCATGTCACTAATGCGAGCGATGATGAATGGTGGCAGGCCAAAAAACTGACCGGATATCCCGGTGATAGTGAGGATAGCGGTGGTATTGGTGGAGTCGGGTTGGGTATAATACCTAGTAAGAAGAGGTATGTTGGCGTATCTGTGTGTGGGGTTTGCCGTTTTTGTGGGTGTGATCTGCTTATGTATGGTGGAATGTTGTATTTACGATCTTAACGGCAGCGTTTTTTCATGGTTTTTGATTTTATGTTTAGTGTGTGCTCTTTCGAAATGTATATAATTTTTTGCTGTTTATGCTCTATTATATTTTTGTCATTAATTAAAAAAACAGGGTTGAAAGAAAGGAAAGATCTAGAATGAAGAATGTCAAGTTTATTGGAAAATCGGTAAGTTTTTTGTTTTTGTTTCTTGCTGTTTGTTATTTAAACCCTTAACAAACCATCCAACCAATCATGTAACAGACTCTGCCGGCTGACAAGAACAAAAAAAAGATTTTTGGCAAAAAGTTGTCGTTCACGAAGGTCAAGGACAGAAGCGGTAGCGAGGATGCCCTCAGCGCTGATGACTGTACGTTATTTTATGTTACTTTGTTGTTGTTACATTTACTACCTTCTTCAATGCATTTCTTTCTCTATTTCTCAGTATTTGTATTTCTATGCATGCACAGAACGATAAATACGATTACAATACTTAGAAATCCGCAAATACACGCGGTAACACACACACGAATGCACGAGCGCTCGTTTATATATGTAACTGAAGGTAATCAAAGCTGAAAATGCAGTGATATTTCTTAATAATTTTATGGACTACATAATTTTATATCATTGCATTTTCGTCTCTGATTAGTCTTTGATTCAGTTTTTCAATATTTCGTACCGTATTTTTATCATTGTTTTTTCAACTTTTTTATACGGAGCAAAAAGTTTTTAACTACTTTTCTATTCACGGATTTTTAGGGAATCCAATGAAGAACCCCAATGAAACCCACTTAAGTTGCAAACTAACAAAGAAGAACCAAAACAAAGCTATAAACAGATATAGAAGCGGGACAATTAGATGTTGTTGAGTGTTTATTTCCTTGATGTATGATATTAGGATTACTATGTTTTCATTTTAAAAAATTGAGTGCATGGTTTTTTATTATGCCAGCTTTTCAAGAGATTCACTAAGATAGCCTATCAGTGCTAAAACGCCGTAAAACTGCAGAAGAAATTGATGATATAGAAGCAAAACAACGCCGTTTAATCTTAGCTTTGCTAATTATTACGCAAGATCTAATGAGGAAAATTTTTTGACTCAAAAAGTAGCGATAGCTATTTTGTTTTGAAAGTAGCATCGCTAGCAATATTGCTACTGCTCAATGAATGTGGCGGCACTACCGCTACTGAAAACTCTGGCACCGCTACTACTAACAATCCTGCTTGCTATCCACACCGGTTTTATTTCGTTGTTAATTGTTGCTATATTTTGTTTACCTGATTTTGGATTTCCATTGGCAACGCTTTAATAGTAAACCAGAAACCAAATAATTTAATGACCAAAAATGAAAAAATATTTTTGTGCACAGGCCACAACGCCGCGTTTATATCTGTAATTTTTTTTTATTATGTTCTAGTTTTGAGAACAAAATTCGTATATCAATCAAACCATATATATAAATATCAGAAGACCTTTCACGCACGACGATCTAAATTCTGCGTGACGTTATGACATCAGAATGAAGATACTAAATATTCCGAAATATTATGAAAATGAATGAAATAAATCAGTTGTAAAATAATCAAAATGAATAAAATTTAAAAAAAATTTTTAAATATTTATTAATAAACTAGCTTGTCAATTAAACATCAATTCACGGTTAAACATCAAGTTAGTTAAGTAAGAAATGTGATGAAGTTTATAAAATTTTATTTAATCTGCAAAAAAATGTTGAGTAATCTTTCTCCATTCTCATCCCTTTTCAGAGTGTAGTTAGCGATTGATTTACTTCGGGATACATAGCGTCGTTTGCAGGTGGGGCATGATTCATTCCTCGTCTCCAGCCAGTCTCGAAGACAAACATCATGAGTCGCATGTTTGCATTCCATCATGTATACGAATGACTTTGTACAAAATTTCTCTGAACACAGGCTGCACGTATCATTAAGGAATTTATCTTTCATAAATGGCAGAAAGAAGAGTCGGTTTCTTTTCATGATACGCGAATGATAATCCTTGACAGTGATTTTTACTTTAATTTCGTAATTGTTCAACATCTGGTTTTTCGCGAACCATTGTTCTCCTGGCATGTAATATAGCTCGGTCAATTTGTACATCAATGAATACTGCTCTTCCTTGCTTAGCATTTCATCAAATCGACGGTTCCATTCGCGTACATTCACCATGGTTTCCAGCTCATAATGTTTGAGTAACTTAGCAAGGTACTCCATGTCTTCAGATCCAAACCCGTAATGCTCATTCTTCAACTCTAACTGATTTTTGTACCACTCAAATTCTGCATTTTTTCTTCGTTTTCCAAGTTCAGATATGTAATGAGTGGCAATTTTCTTTCCAAATTGCTCAACAACTTCAAAGTTTCCAATCGGTGGATAAGCTGGAACGGAATGAGCAAAACAGCGTTGAAATTTGAAGACATGTTCATCTCCTCTCAGGTGCAAACCTGTATTGCATATCTCATTAAATGTGCCTGCTTATTTATACAATATAGACAAGACCATAGAGTATGAACATAGACCAAAAACAGATTGTAAATTTACCTGCCTATATATACAATATAGGCAGGACCATACAGTATGAACATAGACCAAAAACAGATCGTAAATTTGACAATATGTTTTACAATCAAATATATCCATAAACAAAGAAAACCATCTAATAAATATCCAACAGAATACACTAATTTTGATATTGGCAAAGAAATTAATAATAAAAAGACCAACACATAGTGGTCTTTTTAGAGCCAATAAATTGGGAACCCAATACATTATAAATGGTTAAGGATTACCGAAAAAAAATTTTCTGTATGAATAAAGAAGTAGCTAAAAACTTCGTGTTCTATATAAATAAGTTAGAAAACAATGATAAAATTACAGTACGAAATATTGAAAAACTGAATCATAAACTAATCAAAGCTGAAAATGCAATGATATTTATTTCTTAATTGTATCTACGACAGTCTCAACCCTTATTATATACTTATATATTTCTTTAATACAGTTTCAATTTTATGTGAAATTAAGTGATATATACATGTTTTTCATATATGCATAAAAAAATTATTTTTTACATGCACTCTATCTAACGTGCACATGATGTCTGTATGTTTGTTTGTATGTATGTATGTTTGTTGGTTTTTATATTTGTGTTTGTTTCTTTGTGTGCATTTTTGTTTGCTTGCTTATCTGTTTAAAGCTAGCACTGATTATTCATCTAATACATGTGATGGTATGCTTTTAATGGACGTGTTTTCAAGTTTATTATAGTTATAGTTATTAAATTTATTATTATTATTGTTATACTTATTTGTTATAATTATTATTGCTAGCATCTGCTGTAATGGTTTTAACAAAGTTGTTACTTTATTTAATGTAATTATAGGGACTGTTCTTGATGGATGTCATCATTTTTTGGTTACTCCTTGAAAATTTCCATTTCGTTGCTAGCAGTTCAAAATATTTCACTCTAAGTTTCACCAATATCGCGAATGGTGATTGACAAATGAAAACCAACAACATCTAACGACGATGAACGCAAATAAAGACGTACAGGAATGAAATTAAGAAGAGCTGCTTCGAAGGAGCTAATTTCTTTTGAGCATACTGAACGCTTACAAATTTTTATAAACTTTTCCGTTGGAATGTTTTCAACAAAATTTCCATTAATTCATGACGGAAATGAAACGGGATGTCTGCACCTTGCCACAAAGTTTCACAAATTTTTTTCCCTCCAAAGCGTGACATTCTTCGTGGACAGTCCCTCATCCTTTCCAAAAAAAACGCGTTGGAATTTAGAATGTTAGCTATGCGTTAGCTACGTGACATGATATATCTTTTATTTTTGACTGATTGATTTATTTATTTTTTGATTTATTCATATTTAATTATTTGTTCATGCATTTCATTTCATTCATTCATATTTTATTTTTATGTTATTTGAGTATCAACATTTTGTTGAGTATGTATGCACCTTATTTGATATTATTTTAAACACAATTATCTATTTTTCTAATGTCATCTTACTTAGTTAAGCTTTAATTAGGCACAAATATAGGTATAAATTATGATAATTAAATAAATACATTATGTTAATTAATGTTAATTACTACTACTCGACAGTGAGTGATGAACCTATTGCCTCGTACGAGCCCGTTGTCCAACATGAAAGTTGGTTTTTGTATCGATGGATAACGTAATTAATTATAATAATATAATAATAATAATTACAAATAATTATTAGTGAAATTTCCACGCCCCGTTATTATTCTGGGCCCTCTGAAGGACCGTCTCAATGACGACCTCATCCTGGAATTTCCGGACAAGTTCAGTAGCTGCATTCCTCGTTAGTTTCACTTTTGCTTTGTTTTGTGAGAATTACATAATGATAAGGTTATACAAACACACATAAATACAAATGAGCGAAGAAACAAACCGGCAAACATACATATTTTATAGATACGACTCGACCCAGGCGAGAGTACGAAGTTGACGGGAGAGATTATTATTTCGTTGAGTCTCGTGATCAAATGGAGAAAGACATCCAAAATCATATGTTCATTGAAGCTGGTACTAATTAATTAATTAATTTTAGTGTATATATGTAATAATAATTATAATGATATATTCTCTCATATTGCATATGTTTATATTGTTTATATATATATATATATATGTTTTCAGGCCAGTACAATGATAACCTATATGGGACTAGCATTAAATCCGTTAGGGACGTTGCTGAAAGTGTTAGCTTAGTTGGATTTATTTATTCAATTCATATAAATAATAATAATAAAATAATCGTAATAATAATAATAATAAAATATAACAGCGAAATAATAATAGTTTAAATGATTATAATAAAGTGTAATTGATGGCAGGTGATGATGATTTTGTTGGCGATGATGGAGATTGCAAATGATGTTATTGTACTCATGATGTTGATGATGGTAATAATGATGATGATGATAATGATGGCGGTGGTGGTAGTTGTGGTAGTGATGTTGATGATAATGATCTTTCGGAGTGGCTATGATGTGGGTAGTGATTTTAATTTGGATGGTGATAATGATCGTTCGGTGTGGCTATGGTGATGATGATGATAATTTTTTGTGGGTGTTGATGTGGATAGGGCAAGCACTGCATCTTGGACGTCAGTGGCAATGCCATCAAGCGACTGCAAGTGGCCGGTCTCTTCCCGATCGCCCTCTTCATCAAACCTAAATCCTACGAAACCGTCATGTAAGTTCACTTTTTGATATTTTTATCATCACCGTATCATTATCATCGTTGCTGTTTGTTTGGCTTCATCATCTCCACCACCGTCATCGTCATCATCAGTGTGTTTCATCATTATTACAAAGTCTTTCACTGTTATCATCATCATCATCATCATACATCATCAACGTTGTCTTTATTATTGATTATCTTTATTTTAATTGGAATCATTATCGATATCATCATGGTCGTCCTCACTGTCGCCAACACTTAACATCACAAACGCACGTAGTTACGAACAACCAGACAAACTATCAACCAACCAACCAACCAACCAACCAACCAACCAGGGAATGGAACAAAAGGATAACAGAGGATCAGGCCAGGAAGACGTTTGAACAGACTCTCAAAATTGAGCACGAATTCGGGGAATTATTCACAGGTATATTCATTAATTCTCTCTCTTTTCACTCTCTCCCTCTCTCTCTCCCTCCCTCTCTTCCTCCCTCTCTCTGTTTCTTTTTCATTTAAAATTATCGTTTCTGTGTTGTTATCACTGTTGATTTTGTTATTAGTGTATTTATCATTTTGTTTGATTCATTCATTAATTAGTTAATGATCCTAATCCTAAAACGTCCTACCTTGGGGGAACTGGGTCTCTGGACGCTAAACGAAGATTGAATTGATTGATAGTTAATGATCGATAAAAAGTGCTTATTTGGTGTTTTATTCATTTTTTTTTGTTCAATCTTTTCAAAATTGTCCACCCAACCGATCGAATTGCAGCCATAGTAACAGGCGATACTGGAGATGAAGTGTATCAAAATGTAAAGGAGGTCATTGCAGAGCAGTCTGGACCAATAGCATGGATACCTTCGCAGGATATCTACCTCTGATTGAGCAGCTATTTTCTGATTAGTTGAAGAACAAGTCGTGTCTGATTGATTGGTTGGTTGGCTAGCTGGGAGGAAGTTTACGTACGATTGGCTGAGAAAAAATTTTTCATTAAGATGGTCTGAGTTTCAAATTGATTAATTGTAAACTCTGGTAGTGATTACGTTTAATTGCATTTATACACTAATTAGATCGCCATCCTTTTTATACATTCGATGCAGTTGACGTTTCTGATTAATTTTGATCGATTAAAAGTGAATTTAGGTAGCAAATTCGAATTTGGAAATGTAAAATTATCGTCAGAGTGCTATTTTGACTTTGATTTAAATTTGCATGGATGGTTTTTTACTGCCTGATGAATTGGCCGAGCATGTATCTAATTTCGTTGTTTCATCTATTTTTCTGGTCATTAACGTTGGTTGTATTGCATGCTTACGTATGTACGCACATACACTCGTATACGCAATTACACATACATAATGTACACACACACACACATACTTATATGCACATACATATTGATCATTATTATCCAATTTCTATTGATCAATACAGATCAATAAGGTTAATTAGTTTAATCAACAATCCAATTAATTGATTTCATTCCAGTTAAAATATAACAGTATAAAAATGTTTAAAATAATAATATATCATTAATCGATGGGTCGTTCATAATTATCATCATTAATTACACCTTCATGCGTGTGGATTATTCTTTCTTAAACACATACACACACTCACACACGCATACAATACATACATTTTTGTATGGGATCAACATTATTACTAATACTACTACTATATCAATATTACTACAATACATACATTTTTGTATGGGATCAACATTAATACTGATACTACTACTATATCAATATTACTACTACAGCATTCATAAGTCAGAATGATTTTCACGTTGTAATCTATGTTATATTATCAACACATATGTATATGCTAATTTTGATTATGCATCTAATGAATAAATATGTATGTGTGTCTTGTACGTATGTGTGTTGTGTGTGTTGCGTATGTGTTGTACTTGCATGTGTTGTTGTATGCGTATGTATGTATGTATGTATAACTTTTTGTATCTTTCCATTGGTATATGTTTGTAGTTTTTTTTCTAAATTTTCTACTTTCAAATAACTTATATTAGTTATTATTCATATTAATCATTTTTTCAAACTTTTTTTAGAGACATTTTGTTAAGATTATGTATCAACTATTTATAAAACTCATTAATTTCTGTCATGGAAGTTTTGTGTGTGCGTGTGTGTGTGTTTGTTTTTGTCTTTGTGTGTGTATGTGTTTGTATGTCGTGACGATGACAACTTTATCAGTATTTTAAGCTGAGTTAGCATTTTTTTTATTATGTCAATTTGAGTTTTGTACTTTGATTTTTTAATTTTATCTTTTTATTCATTTATTCATTCATTCATTCATTTATAATTCATCCGGTCAATCATTCATTCATTCACCCATCTTCATGGTTTGTAGATTTAAGTCTCGGGTTTGAGGATTCCATATACTTACCGATTTACGAGGGGATTTTATTATAATATGTATATTTGTTCGTCGGTTACTATTAACTAATTGTTTAGTTAATTGCTTAATTGATTAATTAATCGTTCGGTTAATTAACCGAATAGTTTTGCGATTAACTACTCTTTCGGTAATAATTGATCGAGCTTTTTTCAAGCGTGCTAACGAAATAGTTTCTACATTTGTGTTTGTGTCATTTTTATTCTTTTAAATCATCATAGATGGCTACATACTTTTTGAAATATTTATTCAAGCGTTTAATCGGTTAATTAATTAATTAATTTGTTTGGTTGTTTTATTAATAATTCGATACTTTAATTTGGTTAATTATTAATTTCAATGGCTTTGTTTCAGCTCACATTTTAATGGTCGTTCAAATATTTTCCCTTTTCAAATCATTCATTATATGTAGTGTTTGTGACTGTGTGTACGTGTGTGTGTGCATGTGTGTGTGTGCGTGGTGTGGGTGAATAATTGAATTAACCTTTAAATTAATTTTCATTGCATTATTTGAAAGTAAAATATAACACAGCGTATATAACATACTACTGTAATGCTATCGTGGTTTTTCAAACACCACACAGGCAAAGACACACACACACACACACACACACACACACACACACACATATATATATATATATATATATATATATTAAAAATTTGAACTTGTTTCCTTGTCGATTTCTTGTCATTATTTAGCGTATATTTCTTTCTTTTTTCATTTCTTCTTGTAAGAATTGATTTCAATTTTCCAGTGCTGGTAGGAGGCGTGAGAATGAATAAATGTAGTTTATATTTTTATTTAGATATAATAATAAATAAGTAAATATATACGTGACTAAATGTACGTACGTGTGTCTGTGTGTTCGTACGTGTGCGTGTGAGTGCGTGTGTGAATATTTTATCTTATAGGCATGAAACATAACTATATAACATTTCTTATAGGCACGAAATCAGCCAACCGATCGATCTGGCAATATCATTGTTAAATAGATAGATGATTACTACGGTATGATGATGAACCTATTAGAATGATTAAAGTATATTATTTTTGTTAGTTGAATTACTGGTAGAGTATTAGCGATGATACTAAATAAAGTACTGGTTCTCTTATCATTGATATTGTTATCTATATCGATGTTATCTATATATTATTTTATTATTATTATATTATTTATATATTATTATTATTTTAAATATTGTTGTTGTTTTTATTATTTAGCAAATAAATCATTGAATTGAATCAACTCGTAAAATAAACGCGTCTGTATCCAGCTTTTTTTTTAATTATACAATCTTTGGCCATTTTAATTTCTGTGTTGTTAATTCGTCAGTCACTCAATTGATTAATTAGTTAATTAACTAACTAGTTAATCAATTAATTAATTTTTTGTGTGTTTCTTCCATTATATTATGTTTGTAGATATTCCCTTTTTGAGATATTGAGATTATATATTTATTTTTCTTTTTTTTCCTTATAAAAGTAATAAAAATGTTTGGAAAGACTCTTTCTATTGATTTCGTTTGTTAGTTTATTTATTATTATCGAATTATCCTATTTAAAAGTGACGACATTTTCCCATTCATTGTATAATGATGCTGTACTACGGTCGTCAAAGTTATTTTTTACTCAAAATGTTTGTGCAAATGTTGTAAATCTATATGTGCATATATATTTTTATGTACGAGTGTGTATGTATGTTTGTGTGTGTGTGTATGTTTGTGCGTGTGTGTATGTTTGTGCGTGTGTGTATGTTTGTGCGTGTGTGTATGTTTGTGCGTGTGTGTGTATGCGTATGTTCGTATTTGTATAAGTAGCTTTTTATATGTGTATGTAAATCATCCATTGTTTGTATTCGAACAAAATTACTGCACTAAACTCCGCTTAGCCTAATACAATGTATATATATATATATATATAGAGAGAGAGAGAGAGAGAGAGAGAAATAGAGAGAGAGAGAGAGAAAGAGAGCGTAAATATCGTCGTTATACCTTTTTCTTATAATTTTTAATCCCTGAAATTTCATTTTTTTGTGTCATTTTGTCACTCTGACTACTAATTAATTCATTAATTCGTCATCGATTTAAATAATACTAATACCTAATTAACTCTTCATATCTGTGTGTGTGTGTGTCCATGTGCGTGCGTCTTTTATGATCACTAATACGTAAATGATTATCCCCTTATTACTTTTTATCAATTATGTATGGTATATGTAAGTAATAATTTATGTATGTATTCATAATATATATATATATATATATATATATATATATATATATATATTACAATGTTAATAATGTTACTGTTATTACTATGTCAATAATTTAATATTGTGATTACTAATACAAATGTAAGTATTTATGTATGTATTCATATATATATATATATATATATATATATATATATATATATATATATATTACAATGTTAATAATGTTACTGTTATTACTATGTCAATAATTTAATATTGTGATTACTAATACAAATATTATTATGATTACAATGCATTAGTGACTAAAAATTAGTTTTCTGCTTCCCCGTGTGTTGTGTGTGTGTGTGTGCGTGACTGCTTACCGAAACGAATTTGAAGATCATTATGCCTCCACTGAGTTAGTTTAAAATTTCACGGAAATGGGTAGCAATCCTTCTAACACATTTGAAGTGCTTTAATGCTATGGATGTGTATAACATATACATGGTAATGTTGTGTGGCTAACACGTAAATTTCAATTCTATTGGGTTAAGATAGTGAAACAGTTTTTAATAACGTTTATGATTTCACTGAATTATAAATTTATGACCCGATAACTAATCTTTCTAAAAATAGCTGGTAACCAACCCAACTCTTGTTAAGTAAACATTGTTTTTGCCGCCATTTTGTTTTTTATTAAGGATTAATCATCCCAAAACTTTTTTGTACGGATTGTTGATTATCGTGATTATCATGCAGACGATTAAATGTGTCGTTGTGGGGGATGGTGCTGTCGGCAAAACTTGTCTTTTGATATCTTACACCACTAACAAGTTTCCATCCGAATATGTGCCTACGGTCTGTGATTTTTAATTTTATATTTATAGCTGTATTTAATTTTAATTAGTAATAATAATAATTACTTAGAATATCAAATTTAGTGAAATAAAAAGCTGAGTGAAATAGAGTATATATACAATTAACAACTGTATTCTTCCTTAAATTGAGTACATGTGTGTTGTAACTAATAAATAAACAGTTGCAGATGAGATATCAGTTATCACTGAATAGACAAAACATGAAGATATTCAAATTTACAAATAATTCATTGGGGTTTGAGTTGGAGCAATAATGAGAGCATAATAAATAATAATGCAATTACAATATTATAGTAATATATTATTATAATTATATGTAGAATTAGATTGTTTGGGATATGGCTACTTCAATTATTATATATTCTAGTTTTTTTATCAAATTTTTCTCCACATCTAGGTATTTGACAATTATGCCGTGACAGTAATGATTGGAGGTGAGCCTTACACCCTGGGCCTCTTTGATACAGCTGGCCAAGAAGATTATGATAGATTGCGTCCACTCAGCTACCCACAAACTGACGTCTTCCTCGTTTGTTTCTCTGTCGTTTCCCCTTCCTCCTTTGAAAATGTCAAAGAGAAGGTGGTTTTATTAATTTCCATAGTTTAAAATGTATTCAATAATTGCTGCACTTGTCTTAGAAAGATAAGTGTGCACACAGTTCAAACTCTTGCTCACTAGTCAACTATTTAAACTGTTTATTGATTTTGGCATTCAGTGGGTACCTGAGATAACCCATCACTGTCAGAGGACCCCGTTTCTATTGGTGGGAACCCAGGTGGATTTGAGGGATCAGTCAGCCACTATAGACAAGTTAGCAAAGAATAGACAGAAACCAATCACTTCAGAGCAAGGAGAGAAGTTAGCAAAGGAGTTGAAGGCAGTGAAATTTGTTGAATGCTCAGCCCTTACTCAGGTTCACATGAACGATATTTGATTTTCATAAGTTTTTCTTAAATTTTTTGCCTTCTTCATTTAACTTACATTAACTGAGCAATGGTATCAAGTTAGTGTTATTTATTTTTTTTATTTTAAATGTCTAGAAAGGGTTGAAAAACGTGTTTGATGAGGCCATACTGGCTGCCCTCGAGCCCCCGGAGCCGAAGAAGAAGAAGAAATGTGTCATCTTTTAATCATTTTGTAATTTTCGTTTATTATCTGCATGCCGTCTGATGAAAATTTTTTATTTACTATCTTTGTTGCATTGTTATACTCTCTTTTTTCATTTTATAAAACATTGTATACAACATTATTTTCTCTTTGATTTTTCATATTTGTTTGTTTAAAAATTAATTTAAATATCAAAGTTTCTTTGTCACATGATCACTGCAGCTACAGTGATAGCTACACAGCCATAGATACTTAACGTGCTTATCATTTTTATGATATTAAGAAATTTATATATCATTGATACATTTTTAGATAGAGAGAGAGTGTGTGTGTGTGACTGTGTGTGATTTAAATTTCATGTGTATTTAAATGCATTGTTTTGTGTGCTGGTTCTTTATGATACCTCTGAATATTATTGAATAGAGAATTCTAATAAATGAATAAATAGATGAATTTGTATTTTGACAATAATGATGATAATGGTGATGATGATGACATACATATCTTTGTTATCTTTTTCATTGTAGTAATGTATACAAGACACACTTATTGAGTTATGCATATGTGTGTGTGTGTGTGCGCGCGTGTCTGTATTTAATTTTAACTTGTATGTAATGAATATCTAACCAACAAGTCATCGCCAATGTTATTTTTGCTATTATAATTCAAATTATTATTTATATTAACTTTTTCATATTATTATTCACATTATATATAATTCATATTATAACTCATATTATTATTTGTATTATTATTCATCTTATTATTTATAAATTGTTTTTGAGTGATGTTACCACACATTTTTACTCTAAATTAGTTTTATTATATTGTATATTTGTCAATAATTTGTTTTCTTAAAAATATAAAGTTATCGTAAGCTATGTCGGTCTGAGTTACTATATATCTATAAAACATTTCTAGAGTTTTGAATGTGTTTGTCTTTCGTTATTTGGTTGATTGATTATTGATTGATTGATTGATTGATTGATTGATTGATTGATTGATTGAGAGGCATCTCATACCCACATATTTTATGATTTTTGATAGGTTTATTCAAAATTTGTAACTTTTATAAGTCTTTGTTGTAGCGGCGCTTGTGATGTTTCTTGATTGCATGCGACTGAGATTTACTCCCAAATTAGAATATATTTAGCTTCATTTCTATCACATTTGTTTATTCTTAAGTTAAAATAATTATTTTTTAAACAGTTCAACTAATTTAATGATTTAATTTTTGCTGCATGTGATCCAAATTGTATTATTTATATTATTATTTATATTATTATTATTATTTCATAAATTATAAACATGTGTTGTCGATCGTTACGTTATGAATGCCAATTATATTTTCTTGTTTTCCCTTTTTTTAAAGCCTAAATTTAAAATTTTACTATTAAAAAGAGTTACTTACAATGGTTCTGTGACTTATAGAATTATAAACTAATTTTAATCCAAGGGACGATACCAAAACCTTGCAACTGTTGGAAAAATTTGACATGAAACCTATAGCTCTAAAAGCGAAGTGAGCGTCGAATGTTCTACTGAAAATCAGGTTTGTGTATTAAATTTGCATATTAGTTTGCGGCGTGATGATGTGATGGTTAAGATGGCAGGCTCTGTTATTTGCCGTTGATACCTCGGGAAAATATTGAAGAGAGAGTAGTGAAAAAAATCACCTGATTCTAAGGAATTAGAAAGCAGAGAACAAATAAAAAAAACTGAATGATATCGTGATATTAACGTTGTTGAAGTTAATGCATACACAAATACATTTTTGATAGATTTTTTTAGATAAATCCGGAGAAGGGTATAGACAACTTTGACGGGGGGGACAAATTTTTAAAAATGAAGGTCGTCAGCCAGGACATGACCAAACCAAAAAGAAGCCACAAATTTTAAAAAATGCTCCCCCGGGTCGAAAAAATTTGCTGTTAAAGTACATAGGCGGCCCTTCAAAGGTAAAATTGTTCTCAAAAAGTTTGCCCACCTCTGGTGTAAATCAAACAAATGCACATGCATAATTTTTTTAACTTGACATCCACACATTTGAATGAATGTTTTACAAAATTTCATATCTATGATTTCAAATTCATTATGTCACTACAAGCTAATAAAATAAAATTAATGATCTTTAATTAATTAGAAAGTTAATGAGCAATAAACCGAGGTGTCATTGAAAGGTGAACTTTAATCCAATGAATTAATTAGATTTCGAAAAAGTCTCGACCTGTTCTTCACTGTTCCCATCACAATCAAAACGTTTTTTTAACTTATTTCTTTTACTATCATCCAAAGTTTGATCTGAACTCGTAGCATTCAACAAATCCAACTCCCTAATTAAAGCTTTCATCTTTTCTTCGTCAGAAAGTTTTTTGGGTGTGAACTTGTTACTGTTTGTCGCGGTCCCTGTCGATGTTGCTGAGAATGGCAAATATCTGGCCGGTTTTCGAACGAAACTGCCCCACGCACAGCGCACTGGTTTTTCTCGCAAGTTGAACAACAAAAAAATGAAAATTCCTTGAAGAGAATTGAAGATGGCAAACAGGAAGTACATGACGACCGATGCATCACCGTAAGCGAGGAAGGCAAACGACCATGTTAATCCTGTTTACATTTTAAACATTAAATCCGTAGAAATAAATTAGCGTAGCAAAATTTTATCAGTGAAAAACCTATGAACTTCGTGAACAAAACTATGAAGAAGTGGTTTATTAAACGAACCATATATAGAGTTAACATATATGAAACGAACCCATGATGAAAAAAGTGCAGAGAGCCACTTGAACTTTCAACCAGATCAGTTTGCACTGTAACTGATTCGTCACCATTCCTTTAATTGATTTAATAAAAAATTTTGTCAAACTAATTACAGAATAAAACTAATTTTAAAAAATAATTCACCTGTCGGTCTGTCGCATGAAATCCCTTTAATAACCCTAACAAACACAAAGATGTTTACGAGGATTATCAAGCCGAGAGGTAATAAGAAGGCGAAGTAGAATGCTTTTTTAGCTAACCAGCAGCTATAGTGTTCAATTCATTATTTAACGTACGTACACTGTTATTATTATTATTGCTATAAATTCTTATTATTTAATTAATGTTATTATTAATTTTAATGTAAAATGAAAAGGTTCAGAAAAACTAAATTCTAATCTAACTGATGTTCAAAACCATCGAACAGTCTGTAATCGATGAATCCGGTAACATTGACGACGACAGCTGGTAAGACTTGTTAAAAATAATTGTCAAAAGTTCGAAAAAATCATTATTCCAAGAAAACTATCGCAAACTAAATAAATAAATATTTATAATTCTTGTTAATGAATGACGAACGCACAAACAGTTGACTAACTCCAAGCGGAAGCATATTTTTCCAGGCGAAGCTCGATATGTGGGTATTAAAAACCTTCACAAACTTCAAATACTGCAAGATGCCTTCAATCAGCATCTACAAAAACGAAACAAGAAGAAAATAATGCAAAAGTGCGCTCACTATCAGACAGCAGGTAGTTTCAGGCGGTATTGGTGACGTAAACGATGACGTACGTGATGATGACGACGATAATGGGGGTGATGACGGTTTCTTATCCAGTCCAAACATGATGATGAGATTGACGCAAATGAGGGATATTGATAAATTAAGAAGTGCAATGTGATACTGCCCATTGCAAAATTTTCTGAAAACGGCAATAACAGGCACCATTATTATTAACCAGTTTTAGACTTGTGAAAACAAAACACGTTTTGAATAAGGCTCCACGTAAAAACGATAAATTACTTTAATACAATGTAAATTAATTAAGAATAATAAAAATTACTTGAAGATAATTTGTCCGATGATGACCAAGGACAAGCAGACGATGGAGATGACGATTCCCATCACAGACACCCACTGCAGAGCATTGCCCACCTCCTTCAAATGCAGACCTTTTTGAAAACCTTGAAAAAAATAATTTGTAACGTTTTTGACCAAAAACAATCCATTTTTTATATTTTTTCCAAAATTAACTAAAAAAAACTTAATTTCTCACGGCTAAAACGGCGAACCTCGTCAGATGGTCACTTTCACATTCGATGTAAGAGTCATCAACGTTTGAGTCAATCGTTTCCAGGCCATCTGTCGACCATTCCATTTGACCGTTCTCATATTTCGCGAAGACGCATGCATGCAGGATTTGGCAAATTTTTCTGGATACATTGAAAAAATAGACGAGGAAGAGAATAAAAAATGGCGGTAGTTAGAAAATAAAAAAAAATTGCGATGAAAATATTAAAAAATGTCGGAAAATAAAAAATCAGACATACATTTTTTAGGCGGAATTTAATTTTAACTTTTTACGTCAAGTTTGATATCTCCCTCCCTCCTACCGACGATTTAATTACCAGTGAATTTATTTGCCGACCAATGACATCATCAGATCCATCGTCATCAGTTATAACTACCCTATTTTCATCCATTGAAGAACCGTCAAGACCAGCTAATGATTGGAAGAGGATTGTGGTCTTATAAACAATGAAACTCGTTCTAACAGAAGAACCTCCTTTTACTGAAACACAAATTTTAGTTAAAATAACGTCAAACATTAATGACATGCACTATAAAAAATTTAAAGATTTCTAGTATCGCGGTTTTATTTTAACAATAAAATTTGTTAAAAAACATACGAGGAGATTTTCTTTTGAAAATTTCATCTGGTAAGATGAGAGTAACTTATAAATTTTCATCCCATCCATCATTTGTTGAGTTATCTCCGCCTGTTTTCAAAACGTCGTCACCGTAAATACACTTTTCAGATTCATTACCGGCTATTAATTTCAACAGCGCAAATCCCAAACTATGATCATGAACGTCATTTTCATGAAAATGGGTCACAATATTTTTTCCCGACCACATGACGTTGATGTCTTGCTTGACCCACTTCACTGAACTTCTTCACTAGTGTCTCCTCTGAATTTAAAATTCTGACATTTTTTAGAGTAATTAATCTTTTTTTGTCAACATTTTATTGAGTTGAAAAAAATTGTTAATAAATTTAATAAAAACGAAATGAATGTATAATACGTACGACAGTGGTGCTCCAGTTTGTTCTTGCGCCTTCTTGAAAATTTCAACTGGTGAACTCAATAACTCATCGATTATTGTAACCATTGTTTTGGCGATCTTTAAAAAGATGTTTCATTAAAAAGTTCAAAAAGTTTCGTAGAAAAAATATTTTTTATATTTAACATGTAAAAATGTTCGTACATCTGTGCTCATATGGAAGTCAGTGTTGTTTGATGTCTCCAAAATAGCAGCTACTAATGAAATATCGTTTGATTGGATGGTAGAGCTTTTTAAATCTTTAGTTAGTAAGTTCTCAGTCGCTTCGAGTAACTCGTCATAGTCTTTTGTCTAAATAATTTTTCATCTATTCATTTAAACGTCTATTTATCTTTTTCTTGTCACATGGCAAAACTAATTTTTTAATAAAATCTAACTTCGTTGCGAAGGATATCAGAGAAAGATTTAGTAAGGTCAGAACTTTCACCAGCTTCGTTGAGATTCACTGAGGTGCAATCCCACACTTTTTTTAGATGCCACCTGTAACCGTCATTAAAATCTCCACCACATACAGCTTCGGCTTTCGGCGGTAAACCTAGGTAGTTTTGAATATATCAACATGTATGGAGTATTTTTTTCTAATATTTCTTCTCAGAGATCTCAACAACAAACACACGTGCATGTAAATAAATACACGTGAATCAATGAACGCCTCATAAGCAGTGCATGGGATAGGGGAAATGTTTTTGCCTAGTCACTGCGACAACATTGCCGGGCGTTTTAACTATTAAACCTTAATAATTTAATAATTATAACAAAATATTCAACATAAAACCCGAACCGCGCGTAAGGCATGAAATGTCACTTGAAGCAAAATCAAACCATACTCCAGCGTTAAAAAGAAAATTATCTGAACCCTGTGAGATGATTTCTTTGTAACAACCCTCTAAAATGAAACAAAATCTTGAATTAAATATTAATTCTAAAAGTTCATTTGATTAAAACACATCCATATCAAGTGCTGATATTTTTTAAAATCTTTTTCACAATTGAATTAGTCGAACAACCGACTTACCTGAGCTCCTAACTTTCACGTATTTATCTTTCAGCCTGCGATTTTAACAAAAATTTTATATTATGAATACGGATTAAATTATAAAACAAAATAATATAATAATTTAATATTAATTTAGAATAAAATTATAAAATGCTTGTGGAACCATTCAGCTGTTTGACTGTAGAAATTTTTTTACTTCTTCAAATTTATCATCATTTTGCATAATTCCGAACTTCGGAAACATTTGTCGCGCTGAGTTTAGCGAATATACGTTTATCTTTACATCTAGCATTGTTCCGAAACCTTTTCTGTTAAAAAACTGATTAAAAAATATTTAAATCAAAATATTGAGAAGTTTTTTACACACTTCTTTTTAATCTTGATAATTTTCTCGAGATAAGCGTCCGAACTGTTGAGCCAGGACATCCATATTTGTATGTGTGGATTCGAAATCCAATCCTTAATGTAATCAAACGTCATAAATGGGTATGCATCCGTCCAAGCAAGAGATCCGGAGTAGTTGATTGTCGTATATAAGTAGTCAGTTTTTATGTCTTAACATTGAAAATAATTGACTGTAAGCAATAAAATAACGATAATTGTACCTGTAAATTTTACTAAAGCCTCGTTGTAATGAATAAGTTTATAACTTCTGCTCTGGTCATATTTCTGAGGGTGGCACACGTGTAAGCCTTGTGATAAACCATATCTTAACGTACGTGAAATTAAATAGGATTTTGCGAGATCTTCATAGTAAGATTCCGGATAATCAAAGCGAACGATCTCGAAATAATTGTTTAAAGAACGTTTTAAAGGACTGGATGCTGGAATATCATCAAATGATCTACATGGGAATTTTTCATACTCAGTTGATGGTACAAATTGTTCCCTATAAACATTCTGTCCAGATGAGGTTTTAAACTCTGAAAATTTAATTAAAAGTTTATTTGCAATTAATCGCAATAATGATAATAAATAATAATAATAATCCCATTCAAAGATGATAGACTATATGTCTTTTTACATTTGGACAAAAGACAGGCACTTTACCACTATTCCATAAAAATAAAAAATTTAACGCTTTGAGAACGTACAGCGTGTTGGAATAATTTTGAAGATTGTGCATTTTTCGGTTAGTTTTGTTTAATAATTTAACTTGATTTGTTGTATTACAAACTTTGAAACAACTTACATTGAACAAGTTAATAAAAAACTTCAAAAAGTTTTGTAATAACCAATTCCTCACAAATGAACTTTCGACTTGCAGAGCAATCATCGTGTAATGCTTTATTCTCCGTATAAATAAATATGCAAACCCCTTCTTTATTTACAATTAGTGATGTATAACAAAATTTGTGTAATCAACTTTTAGGCATAATAATATTAAATAAAGAGAAAATAAATAAATGATAGTATAGTGGCAATGAAATTTATGTTACAGTATGAAACACTGTACTAAAAACTTATCGCAAGTTGTACGGGACTCACCTTTTTCTTGAGTTCCGAAAGTGCTGATGAAATATTCACCTGAATCGATACCGTCAACTGAAAAAATTCAAAAGAGATAAAACTTGATACAACTTCCAATAAAACAAAGAGATGATATTACCGAGCTTCGACTTAAGTAATAATTGGTAAGTGGCCAGTTGACCGCCTTTATAACGAGAGCACTCGTGAACGGCGACGTCATGAGTGACCACGTTGTCCATGGCTTTGAAGCACATTATTGAATCCCAATCTTTTACCCATCCATCGTCGCATCTACTAAGGCCTGTAATTAAGCTATTGACATTATCTGACTTCAAAGAACTTCTCATTTCACGAGACATCTGAATGCACGTGAAATTGATCCTGCTACTGCAGTTAATAAATTTAATCAGGCGTGTTGATCTCTGCACAGCTCAGTGTCGTCGGGAAGATTGATGTCCACGGGTTCAATTTCAACACCTTCCAGCAGAATCCTTGCTCTTGAAATTATTATCAAATCATGTTGCAGTTGTTGGATATTATTTAACAAAATTCATGCAAAAGTTACCCTGTCATCATTGTAGTTGGTGAGGCACTTGACCATGTTAACAAGCGGTCGGTCAACCGCAAACCAGTCCATATCATTTCATCAACAGCTGTGGTAAAAAATCTCTCAAAAGCTTTTAACATCAAGAAATAAACAACTAAATTGAGTTAACACGAACTAACCAAAGCTTGAATAGCTGAAGATTTGAAATATGTCGTGGAAAGAAAGGCCTGCCTGGCCGTTCCACAGAAATGAATCATTAAGGTAATTTATGCAAAACTCATTGGAGTCTATCCAATTCTTCATCGGCCAACTTTTTGTAGTATTCCAGTTGAAAACACAAAAATTTGTTCCGCGTCCACTTTTTCGCACGTGTGTGTTTCTGGATGAACATCTATTGTATGAGACACGTGGAAACAGGCAGACGGATCTAAAAATGAAGCAGAACAATTGGTTCAGCAACGAATCATCCCTCAACTCACATGCAAATCGTCATTCAATCAGTCACATGGAGAACATCAGGCCTCCCAAGAATGGTGCTTCCAGCCAACAACGCACCTCCGCCCACACCAAACAAAACATCAACAGCTAAACAAGAACAACCTGAAACCAGTAACAGAATGGCAACTACCAAACTAAACATTACTTCTATCCAGCATAAGTCGCCCAATAAAGTCTATCAATTTGGGGAATATTAGTAGGCGAACTCAGAGAAATTCCTCAACATGAGAGCACGCACGATATTGAAACAGCAAACCCGTACTTGAAAAACCACAAATTTCTTGACAGAACCATCCAGCATAAAGACAGGCTAATTTATATTTTAAAAAAACGTCAACACCCAAACACTCACAGCCGCAGCAGCCAATTAGAACATTGTGTAATAATTGAAAATGGTATTTTCTCACCGGCAGTAAATAATTATAGCAAAAGCAAAATATAGGGTACTGCTCTTTATATAAAGTAAATTCCACAATATTCAAGAATCAGGAAGAATTATTATCAATTATGTATCGGTTTGCACGTTTCCTAACAATTAAAAACAAATAATATTAATATAATGGTCTATCATATCTCTTGAACTTTCATAGTTGATGACGGGCGTTACCCTATTATAACAGTTAGAACCTGGATATGTGATTGATTAAACAGAAACACTGTTCAACGCATACAATAGTCATTCTTATTGAATACTGCATATATAATATTTGATTATATTGTACATTGAAATGAAAATGAATTTTTGTTTGATGATGGTTTAATTTTACACTGCTATAATGAATGAGATAATTTTCACATTTTCGGTATTAATTTTTACATTGAAAATAATCGTTTGAATAATAATAATCAACAAATAATAGTTAATTTTAAAAATAATTAGTTAATTGATTTTTTTTATAAGATTCGGGTGTAAATTAGCTAAAAATCCTACGTGAGAACGACATGTTCAAGATTCTAAGATGATTGAGATAATTTGCAGTATTGATTTTCACATTGAAAACAATCATTTGAACTATAATAAATCAACAATTAATTGTTAATTAATGCACTTAATTAATTATTAACTAACCAAATATTAACAATTAGAAATGCATTAATTAATTTTATAATTTGACAGAATTGGGTATAGTCATTATTAATTGTAGTTAATAGGAACATAACGTTTCATATTATTTTGTACGAAAAAACTGAATGTAGGTACCTAGTACGGTTTTTTACTGTGTTTACCTGGTGACACTGAAATATCTATGTTTAACTTGAAAATAATTTTTTTAAACATTACACTGTTTTTTCTTTGTTCAGCTGATTGTGTTTACAAAGCGATAATAGACACGTCGGTGATTTTAAAATTTAAATAAGAATAAAATAATGATCAGTTGGAAGACAAATCCGAAACAAACAGCATCACTGGCCGTCATTTTTTCATCATTTCTTGCGCTGCCTATCGCTTATGTCGTAAATTATTCTTACAGCATTTTGGGAAGATTTGGTTTGTTGGTTGCCGGATCACTTTCGTTGATCTTCGTTTGTTCAATCACACGTTGGGGTGTCTTCGAGGTCAGGAAACCCGTTCGGTGGATTTTTTACGGTTCGCGAATTAGTTAACAAATTTTATTCAATTTTCATTTGGAAATTTCTGATTTCAATGAGAAAATTATAGCAAATGGCAAATGTCTAAAAATAGATTCTAGGGCTTTTGCTCTCTAATCTAATCTAACTTAACAGTTCTAACTAAATAAATATATACTTAATGAATGTGTAAATGTGTGATTAAAAATTATTAATTATATTATTTATTATTATAAGGCAGTTTCAATAAAAGATGTGTGGTTGCATAATGTTAGGACAATAGAAAATATATGCAAATGTAATCACTACTTCATAATGTAATAAAAGTTAGACTTTAAAATCTCTAAATTATAAATTAATAACCACCAAAAATACTTCACAACCTGACCAAAGTTTCAACCTTGGGAATGTTCTCATCAATGATTGACATAACCATTGGGTTAGAAAATGACAAATTAGTGAGTAACATGATGACAAATTATTTAAACACCGGCGAGCCCTACCTGACAACTGCACACGGCACAATGATTTGTTACTACGATGGAATCCTCCATTACATAATGTACCTAATTCTACTTTACAGAGTTACTTACAAGTACGTTGTAAGTTACTACCAAAGTAAAAGTATACTATGGTAAATTTAGGTTGGAGTATTAATAAAATACTTATATACTCATATTAGTCTAATAGTTACAAATAATTATAATTATAGAAAATAATTACAAAATTATTCAGCAAAAGTTGTTACGAGGTTGGGCTGTTTTGGGCAGGTTCACTTGGACATAGTATGATTGTCTTTATGCCTGGTAACATTGTAGGTAGGGACAAATTTTTTTTCTTCTAATTTTATCTTTTAAAAACAATTAATATAATAATTAAATGGTTTAATCACAACACACACACGCACGCACACAGACAGAAATTATTAAAATAATTTACAGACTAAATTATGAGAACATTTTTATATATTGTGTTATTGTTTGTATTTTCCAGGTGACCATAACCTCCATCCATCAATTTTTTTGAACATTCCTTACGTTATCATCCCGTTTGCTAGTGGTTACATGTTCTACCAACAGTACCACATTCAAAAAACTACTGGAAAATTTGAAATTAGAGTAGGTATGCTTGTTTCAATTTGTAAAACTACTTTCCTTTGTTTTAGTTTATTTTTTTATGTTTTAAAAAACGATTCGAGTTTTTGGGCTTTTTTTCTATTTTTCAATTGTAATTTATTTGGATATTTTTACAGGTTGAATCTACAATTGTTAAGATGTTCTTTGCTGTTTTGTTTACTGTCCTCATTTTGATATCTTTGTTCAGGGGCCTGGTTGGTAAATAAATAATTCTGCTTCTAAATAATTTAAAGAAAATATTTTTAGATTTTTATTATTTCTCTAGAAATAGAACAAAAAATAAATAAAAGTAATGATTGAAAATTTTCCCAAAGGCTGTTTTGAATCATACAAAGCATGATATATTCGCGTACTACATTAAGAATGTTGAGCCATATTTGATACATACAGATGCTTATCCAAAACTTCAGGTCTATTAATTTGTCATTTTATCATTTACACACACACACACACACAAACACACATACAAATACATAAACAGAGACGGACAGACAAATATTTGCAGACGCGCTTACATATACAGACACCAGACACATACATACACAAGCATACACACACTTGCACATACACGCATGGACAGACACACTAAACACACACACACAAACATAGGCATTGGTGTATCTATTTTACATGGTTCCCATAGCCTCCTACTTCATCACTGTGCTATATTCTAAATTTTCTGAGTTGAACAACGTATATGCCTTGATATTATTGCTGGCTGGTGCTACACTGCAGGTTTTTTTTATTTCATACTCTTTATCTCGATAATTTTTTAGTTTAATTTTTCAAATTTACCATTTTTGCTTGTCTATTTTATAAATATAAATAAATTATTTTTATTAAATAAAAAAATGTTAGTTAAAATTATTAATTAAAAAATTACTTTATTCACCCCCTCAGGCCCAAGTGACCCACGTTGGAGCCTCGTTACGTCACGATGACGGCACTCTAATGAATATTAATGAGGGTAGTTTTCTATTTTGGATGATCAATCTTTTGCTTCTCATAGTTCCTCAGTGTTTCTTGGTTCTTGCCTGCCATTATAAAACTACTGATAGGCTTGCCAGCAAGACGAAATGAATTACTTAAAAAATTTTTGGCCAGTTGAATCACATTTTTTTTGTTTTTGTTCGTTTTTATTGTTTAAAAAAATCTTTCAAAATTCATTTTATTTCATTTGACGATGTTTAATATATCAGTATTAAGAGAATTCTATGAAATGTAAAATGATTGTAGTTTTTGTAAACTAAAATATTTATTGCAGGAGTTGCATTATTATTTCCTCAAATTGCTAATCAATCAATCAGCCAATCAATCAATCAACCAATCAATCAACCAATCAATCAGCCAATCAATCAATCAGGCAGTCAATCAATCAGCCAATCAATCAATCAATCAATCAACCAATCAAATTGCATTTGAATAGCGCAATTCATAAAAAGTAACAAGCCAAAAAGTTTAACAAACTGTAAGAATTTACATCTAGGCTTCAGCAGTTTGCAATCATATTCTCGATAAAATTAACGATACTCCTGTCACTGCTACCATCCAGGCAGAAAAAAACCTTCTCGACGACACCACCATCGACGGTCGACAACACGTCCAAAACTGACTTCGCCGCTGAGTATCTCTCACTATTGTTATTACCCTCAAAAATTTTGTTAATTTTCTCTACGTCATCGGCATCGGTGACGTCATCGTCGTCGTCGTCACTTAAGTTGACGACCGTGGCGTTTATCTTTTCAAATTCGGTGATTTTTAATTTGTGTTTGATGATCGTGAGGAGTTTCATATTCGTGAATTCTATTGTGTCGGCGTTTAGGAGAATTAACTTCGTGATGCATTTTTTGATCGTCTCGAAGGTAGAAATTTCGGTTTGTTCTTTCGGAAGAGGTTTGCACTCTTCTAACTTGTCGTTTATCACTGCGCGAATTTAGGCAGTAAGTAGTAATATGGAAGTTGTTAACTAGAATTTAAGAGTTATTTGAATATTGAGTTGATGTCAGTGTAGGTATTGATTGTTGAGCGTGCCTTTACAATTTGTCTGAATATTGTGGTGAATGTTTTTTGCAACTTCAAGTGAGTCGCAGTTGAATTTAAAAATTGCGCTATAAAAATACAAACTAATTGATGGATTGAATAATTGATTGATTGAACGATTGATTGATTTATCGTATGATTCATTACAAACCTTGAATGATAAAATTCGGACACCACTGCGCGCCATTCAATAGAAACAGCACGACCCAGGAACTTTTCAGGATTTTAATTTTCATTGGCATGGAAATTTCTTTAAAGTACTGGAGGTTTTGCGACCACAAAATAGCACTTAGTAAGATCTGTGTGCTTGCATTTTCAAGGTAACTGCTACTGTGGTTGCTGCTGTTGTGGTTGCTGTGGTCATAATCTCCTGATTTGGTCTGATGGCTGGAGTTTTGTCGATGTAGAGGATCAGATAAGTTGTCGTTTTGGTCGGAAAGTTTGGAGACTTTAGTCATTTTCTGAGAAAATTTACAATATTTTTTTGGCATAAATCTGTTTAAAGCAGTGGAAGACCTCTTGAAGTGGTATTTAACGTTGCAACTTTGGTCATTTGCGTTGGAGGTTTTAAAAATCTGTTGGTCAGTTGAGTACTTGTCCTCTTTTGAAACTTCAACTGATGAATGCAGAAATTATTGTTTTAGTAAGTTGTTTTGAATTTTGAAAAAATAAAATTAAAATAAGAGGATTAGTTACCACCTGTGAAGCACACATTATGAACGTTGTCGTATGTGTTATTATTTGCCGCTGTTTCCATAGATTCCCTTGAAAAATTATTTATTTGAATCAGTTGTTCATCATAATTTTATTCATAATAAAATTATTAATTTATTATTACAATAACTAATAGTTGTAATTATTAAGTAAATAGTTCGCTGATATTAAAAGCAAAATTTTTTCTAATGTAAATCAAATCCACTCCTCCAACTAACATTTTTGGATCGTCCTCATCCCGATTCTCATCATCTTCATCCGGATTGTGGGCATCATTCCCAAAAAACATTTGCTGTTCCGCTCTCGTTCTTGGGACTCGTTCGTTTTGAACGGCTGCGTTTGTCGATTTTTGAAAGAAGAACATAAATGATAGTTGAAGGATACAACGAATGTGACAGCAGTCTTTTAAAATTAATCCACATCATGCAGTTATATGTTGTGATGACAGTTTGAACTAGGAGCCAAATAATTTAAAAAAAGCGACTAAATACTAAAAATTCACATACACATTACATAAACTCAATTTACTTTAACTTGCAAACGGAAACCAGAAAGCAGAACCAAACTCTAAAATATTTAAAGATTCCCAAAATGTGTAAGATAATCTTACTGACCATCTTTATTCATATGTACCGCCAGACATTTGCTGTACCTACACGCCTGGCACTGGTTCCTCCTCGCCACGTCTACCACACAGCTGTTGAAAGACTTGCAGATGTATCTCATCTTCCTACGAACACTTCTCTTAAAGAAGCCTCTGCAGCCGTCGCAACTGAGGACGCCGTAATGGCGACCTGAAGCACGATCGCCACAAACCAGACACAACAATATGCTGCTGTTGTTTGATGCTGCTGCTGCTGCTGCTGATGAGAAAGATGACGAAGTTGTTGGTGTTGTTGCGTGGTTTGGCGTTGGGTTGTTGTAGTTGTTGAGGTGCTGGTGTGGAGGGAATCTTGGTAGTAAGTAGGGCGCTGGTGATGGTAGAGAGAATTTAAATTGAAGTGGGTTAAATTGTTTGAAATTGTGCTGTGGCTCTTGTCGCTGCTGCTGTTCCTGCTGAAATTGTCGTTGTTGTTGTGGTTGAAAAGATGTGAAAAGTATTCGCCGTTGATGCCGTTCTTGTCTTTGTTTCTCTAAACTTGCCGCTTTTTCTAACAAACTTTTCGAAGCTAAATTCGGCGCCAAAAATTCGATATCGTTTAAATTTTCCACGATTTTTGTAATAAAACAGTTATCACCAAGTGGATTGCTATCTTTACTTCCTCTCTCACAACAGCTACAAACTTCGTTCTTATCGTTCTCTTCGTACGGTTTAAACAAAGATTTTTTACACCGCTTAAAGTTATTTGCCGAATTCGATTTAGCGAAATTTGTAACCGGTAAGTAACCGTATTTTTTATCGATATCTTGAAAACAAATTTGTGATGGGAACACTGATGATAGCAGAGGTATTGAGTAGTTGTGGACCGGATTGATTGGTAGGAAGAGGAAAGAATTAATGTTGCTGCTGCCCCTGCTGCTGTCGTTGATGACGTTGCTGATGTTACTGCTGCTGTTGATGACGTAGTTGATGACGTCATTCTTGTTGCTGGAGATGTGGAACAGGGATGTGCTGACAGGTAGAGGTGGTCTTCCCATGTACGAAGGTACGTAAGAAGGTGTGATAATGCAGTGAGGTGATGATGATGCTGGTAACACTGGTGATGAGGATGATAACAACGATGATGAAGATGATAACAGTGAGGCTGACGAGAATGATGGCGATGACGACGATTTCGACATTCCTATCTAAGTTATTTATCAAATTTCGTAGGAAACTATTATGAAACCAAACAAAGATATGGACAACATTCAAAATGGCTGTTATATTTATGCACCAACGCCAGTCGTATCCGAAAATTATGACGTCACATTTAGTTCGGTCATCTTTAAGCTATCGATCTTTCGAGTGATCCTATTGAATAACTTGTGGCCAATCAGCTGACAGCTCAGAAGCGACAACCAATCATCATGCTGATATTATGAATGGGACATTTTCATTGGCTGATCGTTGGTTTGACAGAACAAAATTGTTTGTGAATGCATGTATGATATGTGCATAATTGTAAAAAAAATTGTCAACAAAATATTTTTTTTAATTATTATTATCTAAAAAAAAAATTTTTATTTCATTCAAAAATTCTTAAATCCGAGAAAGTTTTTTCAAATTTTTTTCAAATGGCCATAAAATTGATTTTATACGCTTCAGTGAAATTGTCATCATTTTACCTTCGTTATCCCCATTCATCATCATTCTATCGAAGCTATCGTCATCATAAAAATATTTTCAAAATAATCATAACAATCATCATCATCTTTCTTGCAAATTTTCTCTCATTTCATCCAAGCCGTCATCATCATCATCACCACCGAAATAATTTTCACTACTTTCATCATCATCATCGTCTCTATCATAATCATCATCGTCTCTATCACAATCATCATCGTCCTCATCATCGTCATCGCCATCTTGTATACAAACTTTTAATGACTTATATGGTGTGAAAAATCTCTCCCAATCACGTGTCCCCCTGCAAAATCATCATCATCATAACAACAGCATAATCATCGGCATAATCAGTATCATAACCACATCATCATCTTCCTCCTCTTTATCATCATCATCATCGTCGTCGTTAACATCATTTCAATTGCAGCTCATTTTTACTCATTTGTCACTAAATTCGAGACAATTTTTCCGTTTTATTCGCAATTTTTTTTAGTCAAAACGTCCTACTTCATAAAAATAAAAGGTGATGAAATTGTGAAACCATTTTCTGGTAAAACCATTTTCTTCACACACACACTCACACACGCACGCACGCACACACAAAAATATAGATATACAGACTTTCATACGCTAACAACCCAGCCATCTTGGAGGCGTGTTTCACTTACTAAATGCGTCAGTTAATTGTCTGAGGTGACTTGTAATTAGTACAATTCTTTGATGTTGGACTCGTTAAAGTTTCAAGTGTATAAGCATGTACACGTATGACACACACACACACACATACACACACACACACATACACACACACACACGTACACACACAAAAATACATACACACACACACTTAAGCAGACATCAAACACACACACAAACATACTTTTGACTCATCAAACACACACGCATCCAAACACACAATTTCATCACCACCACCATCAACATCACTAAAACGTCATCACCAATAACATCATCACCAACAACATCAGCGAGAAATGTCAAAGAGAGGTTTTGGCAGTCATAATTAGTGTTACAAGGGTAATTACTTGAAAAGTCTTCTTTCATAACAAGCCGAACCATACGTCACTCGAGGACACATGTGTGTGTGTGTGTGTGTGTGTGTGTTTGTATGCGTGCGTCCGTGCATGTGTGTGTGTTTGATGTTTGCGTCCATTACAGAAAGAAAAAGAAAGTATGCGTTTGTACTGTCTACACGAACATAAAATGTGTACAAAAGTTTCTATATACAAATATACAAACTTTGATATACAAAGTTTGTATATGTATGCACACATACATACATAAAATTTACAAAGTATATGTATGTATGTATATGTAATGTATATATATATATACAAATAGTATTTGTATTATATTGTATTGTATTGTATATGTAATGTATTGTATTGAATTGTATTGCATTATATTGTATTGAATTGTATTGTATATGGAATGTATTGTATTGAATTGTATTGTATATGTAATATATTGTATTGTATTGTATATGTAATGTATTTTATTGAATTGTATTGTATATGTAATGTATTGTATTGAATTGTATTGTATATGTAATATATTGTATTGTATTGTATATGTAATATATTGTATTGTATTGTATATGTAATTTATTGTATTGAATTTTATTGTATATGTAATATATTGTATTGAATTGTATTGTATATGTAATATATTGTATTGTATTGTATATATGTAATGTATTGTATTGAATTGTATTGTATATGTAATATATTGTATTGAATAGTATTGTATATGTAATATATTGTATTGTATTGTATATGTAATGTATTGAATTGTATTGTATATGTAATATATTGTATTGAATTGTATTGTATATGTAATATATTGTATTGAATTGTATTGTATATGTAATATATTGTATTGTATTGTATT